ATAGGCCAAAAATTTAAGAATAGAGAATAGTGGGCTTCTAGAATATAAAGAATAGAGAATGATGGGCAAAATTTATATAGAATAGAGAAAAAATGGCGTAAATAATATTAAGAATTGAAGAACACCCACCTCCCTCCTAAATAAGTTTTGGCACAATCTTAGTGCTAAAGATTAATCTCATCTGCTATGAGTGTATCTAGTAGCAGATTTAGAAGGATTGGCAGCCTTTAAACTCATGTTGCGCTTGCAACCCTTAGAGTACTCCTTACCCTTCTCGGAACGCTCGGTGAATTTTTATTTGATCTACTTGAATCGTCTTTGAATTCTCATAGCATATGATATGTGTCAACATTCTTTTTTTACTGAAAATTTTACAGAAAATTGTAAGAGTGGTCATGCAGGGACACCCCAATCTTTATCTTAGTTAATGAAAACAGCAAACCAATGCTAGTTAATACGGGTGCAGCACTAGTCCATAACTTATGTGCATTGATTAGTAGATACAATTTTGAAATGAGTGTGCGTCTCTTGCCAAAAGCAATTCACTTTAACATTTCTTTTTACATTTGATCCACCTGTGATTTTTTATTTTTGAAGCATATTTTACAATGACTATTAATTTATGAACTATATTATAACAACACATTTTGAATAGTCATTTGAATATATAGGCATTTGCAATGATAGATTCTTGCAGATTTGCAACTTGCATAATTAACTAATTAAAAATTAATTAAATTATTAAGGTCACGTTTGGTACCCAAAGAACTAAAACTTCAATAGAAAAACCTTTAAATTGAAGTTCAACCAGCATAGGTATTACAACATCGTGAACGGAGGAGTTGTATGTAAAATAAAAGATGTCGTATGATAGGCAATGGGTCGAATACTTTTATCCGCCAGGGCCCTAAGAAATTGATATTAACAGCTTCAACGATAAGCATGATGCGAGTTAAAGATTGTAAAATCAGAAATGAGCCTAGATATATATATATATAGACACAGGGGCTTGTCACCTTTTTTGTTTTATTTTTTTATTGGAAAATATTCTTTAGTATTTCAACATATTTAGAGTTTTAAACACTTATCAATGCGATTTAACAATAACGGGTGTTTATGTATGTTGCCCCTCTTTCCTTATTTTCCCTCTGTGTGGAAAGCAAGTACAGTGATACATGTTTTCGACTCGGCTGTTAAAGGACAAATGATACATGTAATAGTAGTTATTTTGAGACTTTGCGTAAAATATGTATAAGAAAGAAGTGCAAGATATTCCATTATTCAAACACGAATCATATACATTTCCGCTAAAACTGTATGTTTAGACTTCGACTTGTTGTACAGGGTACAATTGCCTTATATTTTTTAAAGATAGGTTTTCCATGATACGAGCCCCTATCAACATTAGTGTAATATGTATTTGTCGTTTACAAATCTTCTTGAATTATATTAAAACAAATTTACTTCGTCACATCAATTTTGTGACTTATATGACCTTCAATCTTGTTTCAATGTTATTTCAATTGAAAAGTGTGCAACGTAGATGTTAAATGCAATTATTGCAACAAAAAAAACCCAAAAAAAAACCAACTTATTTGATCATGATATAAAAAAAACCCGATTCCTGTCAAAGTACATATGAAAGCTGTAAAATTTTAGGATAAAATAGGCGGTAAATGGGATATCGAATGACTGATAGTTCGATAACTTATTTTAGTTTTGCGTATTTAAAAACAACACAATCAAATGACAACGGGAGCATTGTTTTAAGACAATTTATAAATCATAAAGAAATGATAATGATTTGTGCCTTATTATATTGATGAATATTGATACTAGCGGTGGTCTTCTATTGATCTTTTCGGACCAGATCTTTCTGTAAAAGGTGATAATTGTCACACTTAACTGCTGATGAACCCGGTTGATCGGAGGAAGGGCGACATCTCGTCGATGGAATAATATTATCTATCGATTTTGTTTGATTTCATTGGTAAATTGTGTGTCAATTATGACACGTGACTCCTTGGTTCTTTGTTTGTAATTTTTAACTTTCTTTCTCACACACAAGAAAGTTTTTGCAGAGGACGCTTTTGAAGCACACAGAGTTCAACATCTCGTGACTGGACTTAACGGATAAGGAAAACAAATACTACAAATATTCGTCAATAGAATTAACGTTTATATATGTGTGCAAACTAGCCGATTCTTAAAAAATAAATTCTTTCAAGATGTGTTTTGTGTCAAATATTATGTGGCAACTAATCTACCGATGAAGGAATATTAAATTTTCTAGACTTTTTCAGAAACTTGGACTTTTTATAAAAACTTGATAAATCGCTCGATAACCTTCCGAATGCTACCGATTTTAAATTTGATACTGAGGTCGCATATCTAGTATTGTTTAGGCTTAATTTGTATATGTGTATTATTTCTACCAGTAACCAGAGACATATATATATAATATATATCTCTGCAGTAACATATAATACATATTGTAGTATATGTCTCTTTTAAAAAAAATTAAATTCTATGTTTTATAAACCAAGTGAATTATGACTCGTGCAATTCCGGAAGTTTCAAAGAGATACTCAAAGGAAACGATCGTTTTAATATGCTATGCGAATGAACCATCATAACTTCCCGAGAATAGAAGATTTTGATGGATAAAGAAATTCACGCAGTACATCAAACAGAAAAGAGATCAAGAATCGATTTTGTAGACCTGATTTTTTTTATTAAAACAAAATTATTAAAATACATGTATAATTATATTTGTCATATCATAGCTTGACCAGTAAAGCTATGGCAATATTTGTCCATATGATCTGCACCTTTCAAATATATCAGCAAATTAAAAGCAAATATAACTATTTACCATACATTTCTAGCTGCCTTAAATATCTTTCTTTATAATATCTTTGTTTACATATTCAAAGTTACATATGCCCAATATATTTACACATACATTTGTAGCTGTCTGAAATATCTTTCTTTATCATTTCTTTGCACATGTACTCAAAGTTACATATGCCCAATATATTTACACATGTCATTGATATTATTATTTGACCACATTTCTTAATTAAACAAATTGTCTGCAAATCTATGTATTTACCATACATTTAGGAATATGTTCAAAGGCTTTTGATATGTTCTGATTTGACATACATTTCAGCCGACTATAAAGACTTACAAATATATTCCTTTACAATACATTTGACAGGTCTTTGCATATTAAAGGAAATGATGCTTTACACCCCTCTATAAAGTTCTCGTTTTGAATTGGTTTACATACAAGGCAAATGTAGATGCACCTTACACTTTATAACCCCTATAAAATTATTTGAATGATGATGATTTGCTACCTAGACAAAGAAACACATTTGCGGATAAATTTACATCATAGAAAAATACATGACAAAGATTTCCATTTGCAGAGGTATACAAATACATAAGTTTGCGAAAGTTTTGAGATGGTCATAAATATATGCAAACTCTAAACTTTAAAATGGTTTGATTAGGTGTTAATATATTTTATAAACCGCGGTCTCTCATAACCGCCCATAGGAGGGTATAGCACAAGAAATGTTGATATTTACTACATGTAAAGACAAGATAAACTAAATGCAGCGGTTTGTAAATATATGTAAATGTCGGTCTCTGAATACGTTTACATAACATTTGCATACCTCTTCAAATCCGGGATTTCGTGTAGTGTCGTATCCTTTGCTTTTCTTTTAAGCAGATAAATTATATGCAGTCTTTTTCAAGTTCTGTTTAATTGTTTTGAATCAAATTGAGAATAGAAATATGGAATGTGTCAAAGGAACAACAACCCGACAAAAGAGCATACAACAGCCGTAGGCCAACAATTTGGCTTCATCACTGTGAGAAAATTGCAGCATGCTTTAGCTGGCCCCTTAACAAAAAAGTGTAGTTCAGTAAAAATGAACGTCAAACTAAACTCCAAAACATATAAATGAACTGAAATTAAAAAAAACATACAAAACTAACAAAGGACAGAGGTTCCTCACATGTGACAGGAGATTATACATCAAAGGTGAGTCAAAAAATCTACATCATAGACGTAATTTCTTACTATTCCATGATATAGACATATACCACATATTAACTTATTATCTGCAAGGCGGGTTTTCAACTGCTGCTTAGTAAAAGGGCGGAAATTTTAATGAATATTAAATAACTAAATGTAAGCTTGAATAATGTGTGAACAGTCGACATTGGTTTATCCTTTTAGCAGGTAAATGTTTAAAAGATCAGAAATCTTAGAATTGAGAATAGAAAGGTTGTTCAATTTAACTAAAATAACATAGATTAACTGCTTGTATACTTCAAAACCAAAGTGGAAAAGAAAGCATAAATACAATGCAAATCAAAGCAATTAATTTGAATACATTGCATGTAATATTTACCAGAACCATAATGCAGTTCTAAACATTCGGAACTTGCAATTGGTCTTACGTAATTCTTAATATTATATCATTTTTATACTCAAATTAACATCTTTGACATTTTCAATGTATTTTGTTTTAATCAAATGTAGAGTACAATCTAAAAGCTGTGTATACCTTATTCAAAATTGAGGAAAATGATTTTAAAAGGACATTGCTTTATCTAAATTATATTTGAGACATTAGACTGCATTTTTGCTTCCACACATTGCTATAAGATAACAAAAATTTACTTAAATAATTTTTCATATTTTTCGATTATTAGGTAATGTTACTATTTAATCGCAAGCGACCTAAAATAGTACTTCAAAATTGGTCCAATGCGTCGAACGTAAACAAAATCAACAAAAACGACAGAATTAAAACACATGCGAAAAAAAACTCAATTGAAGATTGTAAATCAAACACAATGAAAACGAAAAATGTCCTTTCCCCACTGTAAAAGAATCGACCAATATTCAAAGGCACGTGTAGACTTGAACAGAGATAGAATACAAGAACATCACTTATTTATTTTTTATTTTTCAGTTGCAGGAGGATTTGTCTTTGCTCTATTATTTGATGAATGGACAAGCAAAAAGCTCCAACCATTGGAAATGTACTTTTGCAGAAAACATAAAGGTAGGTACATCTTTAAACAGCGAAATAAAAAAAAACCACAATCACCGCGTACAGACATTTAAAGCCGTTCAAGCAGAAATTTACGGACAAAATCAGTTAAAAAATTTCTTAAACGCTCTAAATAAATAGATCGTTTAAAGAAGTGTCGTGTATGTTTCTATGTAAGGATTCGATTGTTTGAAATCGTAATGATCACCAAATCGCTGTGTTTTTCTATGTCATTTTATACCTGCTGATTGAATTTTTTTGTAGTTGCATTTCTTGATGTTCTACTTACATTAAGTAACCTCCTGACTGTTTCGATAAGAAGGTATACAAAGTATACACATCGCCTTATTACTTCTCTAAATTCATTAGGAATATAGGTATATACAGCTGTATCAATGTCAAGCCTGGTGAAAACATTTTACTTTGATAAAATCCGCTGCTTCTTTTAATTCTGATGTCAAATCTGATATTATTATATAGCCAATGTTGGATATTCTGCAACAGTCGGGACACTTCCACAATATTTTAAAATTCCTCAATTTTCATAGCAACATTAAATTTGTTTCCCTTTGACTTATAAGCTGAATTGCTATATTTCAACAAAATAAGATTGGTAACTGACAAATTTTATATTTGAAATTGACCAATGCAGTTTACAGTAAAACATGTACATGTAGGCTAATTAGGACGAATAATGAATAATTGTTAAGAGTAAAATTACAAAAAAATTATCAAGTATGAGGGAATGTATGGTACATTCGTCAACATGGTTTTTGAAAAAAAGACAATTCACCGGTCCAACCTGTACAATAATCAATTCAATCTAAATATTTATATTGATAGTAAGTGGAAGGAACTCAGGAAATGTGTTAGTTATAAAGGAATTTTTTGGAAAATGTTCTATTCTATGTTATACTGGATAACACCATACTTTTTATTTATCTACTCTGAATAAAATTGAGAATGGAAATGGGGAATGTGTCAAAGAGACAACAACCCTACCAAATAGCAGAAAAGAGCCGAAAGCCACCAATTGGTCTCCAACAAAGCGAAAAAATCCTGCACCCGGAGGCGTGCTTCAGCCGGCCCCTTAACAAAAATATGTACTTGTTTAGTGATAGTGGACGTCATACTTAACTTCGAAATATATAAATGAGCGACAATTCAAAATCATAAAAGACTAACAAAGGCCAAAGGCTCCTAACTTGGGACAGGCGCAAAAAGGCGTCGGGGTCAAATAAAGGCAACAGTAGTATACCGCTGTTCGAAAGTCATAAATCGATTGAGACAAAACAAATCCGGGTTACAAACTAAAACTGAGGAAAACACATCGAATATAAGAGGAAAACAACGAAACAACAGAAACACTAAAGTGCAACAAAAAGCCAAACGACAATGCAACACACACATAAACGAACTATAAGATAACAATTGCCATTTTCCTGACTTGGTACAGGACATTTTAAGAAAAAATGGGTGGTTGAACCTGGTTTTGTGGCTAGTCAAACCTCCCGCTTTTATGGCAGTGTTAAATATAACACTAAAATGACAACATTTCATGACAGGACTACAATACAAATAAATGGAAGAACATTCAGGACAGAGAAATACACAAATACAATAGAACATTTCGACATGCTTATAGTTATTCAAGGTACCAGGCTTATAATTTCGTCTACATAAGACTAATCACTGACGCTCAGGTCAAAATAGTAAAGAAAGCCAAACAAAGATGAAGAGCATTGATTATCCAAAATTCCAAAAAGTTGAGCCAAATACGGCTAAGGTTATATTCCTGGGATAAGAAAATCCTTAGTATTTAGAATAATTCATACTTTTGCAAACAGTCAATTTATAAAAATGACCATATAATTGATATACATGTCAACACCGAAGTGGTGACTAACTACAGAATAAAAACGAACACATGAAACAACCTAGGTCGGCACATAAAAACTGCACAGCCGAACCACGCATTGTATGTCACCCGACTAGATCGACGCACAAATGTGACGTCACAGGTTTTGTGAGATCTCAACCCTCCCCTATACATCTAGCTATTGTAGAAAAAACAGCAAGTCGCACAGTAAATATCAGTTTAAAAGAAGTCGGAGTCTGATGTCAGAGGTGTAATACCCCAATGAGTTTCCCTTTTTAGTCTTTGTTAAATTTGCACTTTTCAAAAAATTGTGCAAAATTCATCTTTGTTTTAAATAAAGAAATAATTGGCATAAGTAATGCTTTATCCAGTCCAGTACTATAGACAAAACGTAACATGACATTTCATTGCATATAAAAAAAAACCATTACTGGAAGTTAACCAATCAAATGTTCACCTCTTTTTAACTTGTGTGCAAAATTCGGTACCATGTAACCTCAAGTTTCCGAAATATTCTATACAAACTCAAAATAAAAAAAATATTGGTGTTTTGAAATACCCAAGATATATGTTTATGACCTAGAAATATTTTACTGCAATGAAATGCAGGATAAATAACCTACAACTGTCAAATTCAAGGGAATATCATTTTACGAACCTTGTCCGTATGAAACCCGTCACGTACTATGATTTGGTGGTATTACACCTAAAATCGACAAAAAAAAACCCAAACAAAATGACAATAATACATAGATTAACAATGCATTTTTAATGGCTGTCTTCTCTCATTCCGAAATCCAAGACCTACCACCTTGTTTGTTTAGGGTTATTATTATACTCACTTTTTAGATTGTCTTTTTAGAATTTCAACTTCGTTTTTATAAAACAGGTTCATATCATTGTCCTGATGTGTATGTGATATGAACTGCTTAACGCTAATCACTTAACTATCATCCTTCTTTCTTAAATGATAAAAATGCTACAATGTAAAATGGGTTTTATCATTAAAGGTAATAGATAAGGAATATTATATGTTTGTCATCATATGTACATGATTAATATATGATGAGTTTATTTATAATACAATTTTTCAAATATATTCCTTATAATCTATATATGAATGGTAGTCTAGGCGGGTTTTTTTCCGTCCCTTTTTACAGCAAAATAGCGCTCATTTCAGGTAAACAGTTAACATCTAATTTTTAAAATTTATGTTTAATTTACAGCAGGAAAAGAACGACTAAACGTAGAAGAACTTCAGCCAATAAAAAGGAGTAAGTCTATATGACAATTGGAATAAATTCCTTTTAAACTATCTTGTCTAATAGTAGTATTTTACTTAACTTATCAAATGTTAAATGTTAAAAAAAAAAGATATACAGAACAAGCTTTATCTAAACGTGACAAGCTGCTGGTATAACCTTTCTCACTATTTCATTATTCAGTAATCAATGTTAGTATTTCGCGGGTAGGTCTATAATAGGAAACTATAAGCAGTTGAACCGAATGGTTATCAACTGTAAATGTATGTTATAACTGTTTTATATGAACCTTAACTCCTTAGAATAAATCATAATCCATTGGTCAAAGTAAAATTGTGCATAGTAATGTTCTTTTTTATTTGGATCAGATGAACAATAGATCAGCTGTTATTAGGGTATAAGATAACTTTATTGTGTACAGGTCTGTCTTCGGGATACATTTGATCTTGATTTCATTGCCAGTGTTTAATGCGTTCTTTTCGTGGTTATATAGCAAAAAGCTAAATCACAAAAATACTGAACTCCGAGGAAAATTAAAAAAGGAAAATCCCTAATCAAATAGCAAAATCAAAAGCTCAAACACATCAAACGAATGGATAACAACTGTTATATTCCTGACTTGTTGAAGGCACTTTCTTATGTAGAAAATGGTTAATTAAACCTGATTTTAAAGCTAGCTAAACCTCTCACTTGTATGACAGTCGCATCAATAGAAAATTATTTCAAGGTGTAAATGTGCGTCTGAAGAGGTGCATCTTACTTTGATTTCATTAACATGGATTATTGATAATGTTATTGTTTTATGCTATTTATAGTAGAACCTTTATATGATAGAATTTGAACATGAATCAAATGATAATCAATTGACAATCGGTAAAGCAGGCGAGAGATTTAGATGTTTGAATTCAAGCATAGTTTTATTTTTTATTTTTTAAGAAATAACTTTGATATTTTAAATTTCAAAACATGAGTAACGTTTTGATCTACACAAGTATTCATTTAAGGTGAAATAACAGCAGACGAAATGAACTTTTTGCGGATAGTACATCTTCTGGTCAGAGTGGCTTGTCCAGTTGTCCGCAGTATTTTCAACAGTGAGATCCAACCTAACCAGTTACGAAAAACACTTTATAGGAACAAGCAAAAAATTGTTAAACGGTACAGAAAGAAAGATACATTCATCAATGACTTTCATTGGAGTAAATTATTTGCACCAGACATAGGTACAAAGTAAAATTAATAATATATTAGTGATATCAGGTTGTATAATTTTATGTTTAAGCTGGTAAAACATATTTTTCAAATTCACATTTGCACAGAATACACAATGAAACGAATATGCAGTAATTTTAAGTTGATATAACAAAACAAAACTAGTTTGACCTTAATATATCAAAAATAACCTGTAACTACTGCACCTTCGGATATTCGATCTTCTTAAATTGATGTTTTTTTTTCTTCATTGCTTACTGTGTTTTTGGTATAGAAATGAGGATATATGGTATGATCGCCAATAAGTCAATTATCCACGAAGATATAATGGGTGGGGGTATTCATATTTCATAAAGCAAAAGACAGATTAAATACGCCAAAGGGATATTCAAAGTCATAAGCTGAAAACAAACTGATAAATACAATAACGAAATTGTGTTTATTACTACCTGTAAAGTCTATGTTATATAGGCACATACGTTTTAATATGTATCATAGATCACACTTACTCGGTCAGTGTATGTCTATTTTTTTTTTAATAAAATTGTGAATAGAAATTAGGAATGTGTCGAACAATCCTACCAAAGAGCAGAAAACAACCCAATGTCACCTATGGGTCTTTAACACACCATTTCCACTTTTTTCATCTATGGGGAAAAGTTTGCAAAAGTTTTATCTAAAATTATTATGATGAACAAGAATTAAAATTTAAAAGAAAATATTATTTTTTTGCGTGATTCTATTTTTTCTCTTGATATTCCGAACTCATTTAAAGAGTTATCTTCTTATATTTTAAAGTTCTATTATTAGGTTTATCCTCTATATATTTCTTTATCTCTGTATAATCCGTACAAAAAGTATCTTTTTTGTCCAATAAGCTCACTGACCTATCATGTTTATCTGTATTCTGTAAATATCGCTATATAGATTACATTTTGGCAAAGTATGAACACATACTGTCATATTTTGTTTATGTTCCCATATCATCATAAGCATAAACGTATGCACATTTTAATGTTGTTGTTTTATGATTTGTACATCTACTGAATTAAATCATTGTTGGTAAATTGTAATTTTGTAATAATATCAATCGACTTGTTCATCTAGGACAAGCAGTTATATCAGATAATTTTGATATAAGACTAATGATATTTCTCCTGCGTACACTTGCAAACATTGAGGTTGGAGATTTATACCCAGTTTATTCTGATACAACAATAGGCGCAATGCTTTCCAGGATTCAATGCATAAGAAATGAAACATTTCGGAACTGTAAAGGACAACTCTCAGGATATACTTTCAATAAATTCTGGGATGAAATTGGACAGGTACGATATTCATTTATTTATTCAAAAGAAAAAACGACTCCTAGTAGCCAGCATGTTTAGGCACAAAAAATGATATTGGTTTCGTAGTATTTTAACCTTTTACAACACAATAGTGTGATATTGAATTTGAACACAACAAATATTGTAAATAAAACAATTCCTACGAATTTATGAAGATTCTTACTACGATTAAACTAGCTTGGGCGTACTCCGATATATGAAAGAGAAGCAGAAAGTGATATTCAAACTCAGAAGTCGAAAATAAACTGACAACACCATGGAAAAAAATTCAAAACCAAAAGACAACAACAGTAGGAAGAACTCAAAATAGAAAATCTATAATGGACAATAAATATACCTAAATCTTACTTTCGTATTTAATCTTTGCACATTTTAATTTGATGTTTATTTTCTTTTTGTCCATATCTATCAGTAAGAATTATATCGATGCGAAGTGGAATATTTAGATTGCTAGTCAGTAAATGGAATTATCAGTGAATTTGTTTATGAAACTACGTTAAAAACTGTCAAACGTGTATGTTATATGTCCTTTATTTTTGCGAAATAGAATGACCAGAAACTTTAGGAAACAAAAGCTGACCTACCTCTCATAAGGCGCCCCAAGTAGTTATTTATTGGATATATAATCGGGAGTAACATATTATTCCCTTGCTTAACCTATTGTCATATTTATAAAAAAATGTTATTTATTTAACTTTGTTGCGTTGTTTATTTGAATTATAACCTGTTTTTTTATAAACTATAACAAGACTTTATATCTTTATATTTTTAAACAAGAAATTATTATAAAGAGGAATAAAATGAAGCCGTAGAGCAAATATTTAAAACAAAAATTATATCAATTTGCTCTTTCAAAGTTTTCTGATATTTTATACATTGTTTTAAATTGGTGCATTTGAATTTTCGGTACATTGAATCAACAATACCAGCTTAACCTGTATTTATGAAACCGATCCAGTTACAAACAGAAAATTCTAATGTTAATTGTTATGCAATCAAACTTTATTGACAAATGACAAATGATTGAATTGAGTCCATTTATTTTTATCTAGAAAAAAGAACTAGAAATGGTTTAACACACGTTATCACCATTTAGGAAAATGCATTATTTGCTCCCTGTCTTTTCTGCCCTTTTTTTTTTTTTAATTTAACACTATTTGAAACTTTTTAGCCTACATCATATCATGTGGAAAATGAAGCTCATCATGGTTTGTTTTTATCCTACTCTTCTTCGACATCGTTTGATTTGTCTTTCTAAGATATTTGTATATCCAGTCATGTGGTAGAAACAATCAGTCGGAAAAACGAAGCCTGATTATCAAGATCTTTGCATTTAAAATTATCAAATTCTGCTACATTGGAGGCTCCTTCTCACAAGAGTATATAATGATAAATATTTAATTTCTACAGGGTATAAGACCTAAAATATCGCCCTTTATAAACTGATAAATACCGTTATAAAGAGAAATACAAACTAATTACACTAACTCATAGGACATTTTATTAGTATGTATTTAAACTTATTTTACGCAGGCAGTATTGAAGTTGGTATCGTTTCATCGAAGTGACCTAGGGAATAATCAAGAGAAAACACGATTGATTGGTAAGAATAAAATGTTATTCAACGTTTAGTACAGTATGAGTTCAAAAATTAAGAATAGTTAGAAAGTTTTTTTTTCACTGCAAAACTTACTATAAATGTTTTATATAGATATGTTGTATTTATTTTTATTTACTTTAGACAGACTTCTTGTGTTGAACCCTATAAACATCGACACTAAATCATTGCGTATATTTATTTATATATCTGAAAGATGTCCTGGTATAATACTTCACCAATTTATTTCTGAGTATTGCGTGTCAAAATCAATAACAATAGAAGACCTACTTAAACAAGAAAAACACCAACTTTATCATAAACGCATCAAAAATGAACCATGCTGTATATGCAGGACAGTCTCGACCTACAATAGAGTTATTCCGGAAAAGCAGTGGAAAGCATTGTATGAGGGAAATGACGGTAGTTATTCGCATTCCTGCTTATCTGAGCGTAAATTATGCATCGAACGTTTTACTCCAAAAAAGATAACAACATTGGATTTACCAGACTCAAGAGCTTTGATTCTTAATATACCAGATATTTTGACTTATATGATTGGTCGTCTAAACATTAAGAAATGTAGTCAGTTTCTGCTACGTAACCAGCATGTTATATATCATTCTATGATTGGGGAAATGTGTTGCAAATGTGATAAAGTACCTACTGAAAAAATAATTATCAACATAGAGGAATGGAACAAACTCTTTAAAAGAGAAGAACATACATCTTGCAAGACCGGAAGCAAGATTTGTTGCTGTCAGTACTCAGTAAGAAATGGAATTAAATTCAAAAATATTGAGGACATTTGTTTGTTCAAAATTTTTACCATTGCTGGTCCTATTGGTGTTCTTAACAATATTGAACAAAATGCACTTTTATACTTTCTAAATTGGACTGCTGATGCAAAACCATTACGAAAAGCGTTAACATACCTATTAAACATGATAAAAGATAAAATGTTTTCCGCAAGCATATCATCCTTCATACCTCCGGAGTCGGGAGAAACTTCATCGAAAGAATTAGATTCAAGTAGGTGGATTGCTCGACATTTGCGAAAACAAGAGGTATGTCTGCTGTTTTTGGTTAAACTATTGATAATTCTAAAGATATGTTAATTTTTTTTTATAAATATAGTTTGTGCATTGTGTCAATATTTCTATTAATAAGCATATACATATAGCAGATTAGCAGTTTTGATATTTCTACTTTTATTGGACATATCACATCCTATTATAATAATCACTGAACAATAATAGAATGTTTCCCAATGATAATGAATTGTTAATATTAGATTTGTCCTGATTGAAATTGGGTTATAGGGGTATTGTATGTAAGGTGATTTATCAAGGAAACATTCAGGATTTTTGATTATATGATTTCATATTTGTAGACAACAGCAGAACAACAACTTCAAATTCTGATACGCGATGAAGGTATTTTATGTTATATTAATAGTTATAGGCAGGACCGATTTGCTTTAAGGGCAACACCTTACATCGTATAATCTATAATGTCAACTTCCTAATTGAGAACTTTCTATTTCTATGTATCAACAGTCTATAAATGCCTGCATAAAGAGTATATATATCCCAGTTGATATGATATTCCAAGGCTTGTATTTCCTTTCATAATTCCATGTTCGAGGGTTGCTGCTCACAAGGCAGCTATTAAACCAAGGGTTACAAGTGGTTGAAGTTTAAATCAATCCTTTATAAATTTTACGGACGTCATAACGAGTTGATAGACTGTTACGGCGTACCAATTGTCGTAAACCACAATCCTGTCATCTTTTCTGTTAATGAGAACTACCGAATAAGACTTATCACTGGGTTTGTACTTATATGAGCAATACGTGTACGACGGGTACCTCATGTTGAGTAAGATTTGCTTACTTTTTTGAAACACCTGACATCACCCTCTGTTTTTGATACCGACTGTGTTGCTCAGTCTTCAGTTTTCTGTGTTGTGTATATTGTTGTGTTGTGTATTGTGTTCTGTTGCTTTTCAGGTATAATCCACCATTTTGTGCATAAGAACATGCCTGTACCAAGTCAGGTATATGATAGTTGTTACCCATTCATTTGATGTGTTTGGGCTTGCAATTTCATAAGGGACATTCCGTTTAGAATTTTCTCAGAGTTTTTCTTTTTTTTTTTATTATACCTTTTTTAAGAACATGAACATGATGAAGTTCAAAGACAATATTTTTATGCATTTTCGGTTTAATTTATAGTCTTCTATTTTTCATATCATGGACAAGGCATGATACAGCAACGTCATACTTTTATGTCAATCCGAGTCCATTTATGACACATTTGTCAAAGAAATGCACGTGACTCCAACAGCAAAATATATTACAACGTTTTGTGCGCGTATACATACTTTTACTTATTTTTTTCATTTTTCACACATTGTTTTGATAAGATTGCCGATAAAAAGAATGTTTGTTTATATACAGACGACATCAGCCTTGATATCAGTCCGTCCTTGCGCGGTCACTAGATATTCTTGTTACTAAAGTCAGTATCAAAAACATAATGCAATTTTCCAATATCATATTTTATTCTTGGACAATGCTTCACAAAATAATGAATTTCAACAGTGAAGGCTGATCATAACAGATATCATTTAATATTGTTTTTATATATTTCGTAAAAGAACTCATAAAAAAACCTAGCTTGACATTTTTTTTACAGACAGACGCGATTTTCGTCAAAAAAAAAAGACTCACCAGAGACACTTGAAAAAAAAATCGAAAATAGGGAAAATAAAATTACAAAATGAATTATGATGTTAAAGAGAATTGAGGACCTGAAATTCCGAAATGCAGCTAATCTATTCCTGTGGAAGAAAAATCTTAAGACTTCCGAAAAAAAATATTGTCTTTAAACATTAAGTTTTTAATTAACCATATCAAAGACAATATATGTCAACACAGAAGTGATTTCTACTTGGGAAGTAATACCACAGGGAAGGGAACTTCAACCAGTCCCTGGTCGTATACATGTGTGTGCCTTATTACCAGATAAAAAATACACCAATTTCATGAATAAAAATTCCTTACATGAACAAAAAAAAAAAAAAATATTCTTGCTTAAAGTATTTGTATTTGTTACATTTCTTAAATCAAAATCAATAAGTAAACTTGCATTGGTATATTGAAAGCTACTTGGTTTAAAGTTTAACAATTAAATACAGCTATTTGTAAGATCCAGGCAGGGGGTGATTCATGTATGTCTCAGAACTGCTTTATTTTTTATATAATGGAGAGCTAAGATTGAAATAAAGGTTGCAAGCTAAATTTTTTAATTTTGTTGAACGGTTGCTATGGAAACATGCAGCCATTAATTTCAGGAATTTATGATGAAATCAGACATGAAAAATCGGAAAATGTCTGCTTTTTGGTTGCAGCAATTTTATGATAATGAAAATTGCAAGAAAAAAATAATTTCAACACATAATTTAACATTATTTGAAGTTTATATTTTAATGTTCATGTTGTGATTTTTATTTTTATATAAGACTAAAATGGTATTTCAAAAAGTTGCAAAAATCTGCATTTTCACATTTTCTGAAAACAGCTTAAATATCATATTTTAAATCAAGTAAAATTGACATTTGGCAGATCATATTATTACAAACTATGATTGCAGCTTAAAGTTCATATATTTAATTATTGAAAACAGAAAAAAAACATCTGGATTTTTTTCTATTTTTTTGTTACCATGGCAACAAAAATTTGTAAAATTCATAAAAAATGACAAAACAAATTTTTGCTATTTGTTATATTAATGCAATTTAACAGACTATAAAACCTATAATTTGTTTGAAATTATAAAAAAAAATATACTAGTTTTAATTTAAATGGCTAAAAGACCATGGCAACAGAAAAAAAGCCCAAGCAACCGACCGGATATTGCTGAAATAATTCAGAATCAGCATCGAACACATGGAAATAAATGTATTGAATGCATTTAAAAAGTGGAGTTTGACTTCTAAACTCAACAGTTAGGTAGTTCACTCTGCTTTTGGTAACCATGGAAACAAAAAAGTTCAAAATTGATACAAATTATTACCTTATAATATCTGTTTTGCAGCACTATAAATGTACTTCTTTCAACCATAATCAACAAGCAATTATATTTATCTATATTTGCAACTCTTATCTCTTGATTTCATGAAGTGGTCATTTGGTTATTGTAATGATAATGTATGGCATAGAAATTTTAGATGGAGGGACAGAGTTAATAATGTAGGACTGCTGAATTTGGTGGTTCCTAAAAAAATTGTATTCCTTATAACATGGATTTTTCTCAATATCTCAAAAATAAAAATTGCATTTTGGTCTAGAATTGCAAAAGTAAATGCATGCAATAATTTCTGGTTTAACAGTATCATCCTGGCAGAAACAATTTTCCAGTGACACATCTATTTGATAGACTTGTGATTTTACTGTTGACCTGCAGAACTCAAAATCATTATGATCTTCCTAGTCATCTCTCAAGTTTCATCCCAATCATTACAGGGAAACCTTATGACCAATTGGAAATATAAGGATTCTTCCAGCTAATAACAGTCGTCTTAATGTAATGAATGACAACAGTGCACTTGTCACTTTCTCCCATTCCAGAATATGACCATTGAAACACAGGGCTCATGTCTGACATGAAGCAAGACATTCTTACTTTATGGAGCATCTGATGTTGAAACTATGAAAACGTTGAAAGTCAATGACCCATTACTGAATATGTTATGCCTTTTAATACAATGGATACTATAAATCATCTATATACCAAATATCATTGATTTGACATTATTAGTTTCCCTTACACTAACCATATAAATGTTAACCATGTTAATAAACCATGAATGACTAAAGGTTAAGGCAAATCTTTTTTTAAACATAAAATAAACATTGAATATATAAGATAAAAACTTATCAAATGACATATGAAAAATATTTTATAACCAAAAATACTTCATAAGCAATATTTGATTTGCGGTAGGTCAAGTTTACGAGTTTATTCCATCTACGCCAATAACTTATAACCTTACGACTTTTTACAATGCGCCAGAGGGTTCCTGTTCTGCAAATTATGTTTTATATCCATAATGAATTTGTTTCATCAAAAGTTAAAAGCTACCAAAATAATTTTTATAGAGTAACATGAATTCTGGTTTTAGAATTTTCATATATCATCTGTCATTTGAAAAGATATAATTTTATTTTAAAAATATTGCTTAATATCATATACATGTAACAGTCTGGTTATTTCCTTTAATACAGTGACATGTCATGATCTGTTTTGATGAGTCAACCTCTACAACTGTACACTGACAAACTTTGACTCCTGTTGCATCCGTTATTGCTGCCTGCATTTTAAAAGGACTGGTGATTTTTTTTCCTTGATGATACATACAAGCACATTTTCAATCGCATATGGGCTATCTTTGCATCACAGATACTCTTTCCTGACTGTGCTTCACTTAAGTTGTAATGTGTAACTCTTATTCCTGAAACATAAAATAGATTTTTTTTTATCACTCTTAAAATTTATCACGGATATTACATCTGAAAAGTGTACAAAAAGAAGAACTCTAATAACAATAACATTTCTTACTAAAAAAAAATAATTATCAAAATTGGTACATTGTCTGCATCTGTTAGTCGAAATTTATATATCCTTGTTTCACATCAAACTGTTCGACACCTTCAAATTATTGTACTGATATTTTTTGTATTACATACAGCAAACACCAGCTTTATATGAAAAATGACCATCATGCTTCAAACTTTGAACTCCTGATTTTGATGATTTATCAGCAGATCACAATTCAAACAAAACTTTGAACTTTGATAAGGAGATAGTCATTCCAACTTTTCAATAAAGATTGGAATCTTGTGCACCTATGCCTGCTTTTTTTTTAACTCTTAACCTAAGTGTTGACTGGCTAGTTATAACAAAAAACAAACAACTTATACCACTTGGCCACTGCGGCCCACATTTTTATTGTTATATTGTGATGTTTTTAACAAAATTCTGAAATGGTCTTTTCTTAAGACGAGCATTCTCCAGATTGACAAATAAAGTTAAATTTTGAATGAGATTAACAAAGGATAACATTAAAGCAATTTATACATGAAAAGTCTTATTTTTGCTCTTTTATTTATTGAACTCTTTTTTTCTGTTTTAATAAAAGGACCGAGTTCCAACTTCCCCCCTGTTGAACAGATACTAATTTTCCAAGGAGCATAACTCTTAAAAAAAAAATTGATCATTCATTATTACAGAACTTGTCCAAGATATTACTGATATGTACCTACAGTATAAGTTTTAAACAAATTTGGAAAGAATTGTACCTGTGAGATTGCTAGAGGCCATTTTCCATAAATTTAGTATTTCCAAGGGAAATTACTCTTTAAGAAAAAGTCGATCGACCACAATTATAGAACTTGTTCGAAATTTGGCTAAAATTTACCTATAGTACATGTTAAATAAAAGTCTGGCAAGAGTTGTACCCATTAGAGCGCTGTGTAGGCCATTTTCCATAAATTTAATATGTATAAGGGAAATAACTCTTTTAAAAAATGTTGAATAGCCACATTGTAGAACTTGTCCAAGATATTGCTGATATTGAGATATAGTTGAAGTTTTATAGATTTCACCCTGATGAACATTTTTACCCCATGTCAGATTCGCTCTAAATGCTTATTTTCAGAGATATAAGCAAAAAACTGCATTTTATTACTATGTTCTATTTTAAGCCATGGCAGCCATGTTGGTTGGCAAGCGAGGTCGTGGGACACATTTTTAAAACCAAATACCCCAATGATAATTATGGCCAAGTTTGCTTAAATTTGGTCCGTTAGTTTCAGAGAAGAAGATTTTTTTAAAAGTTAACGGACGACAAATGTCGACAAGTTTAAGAAAAACTCACTTTGCCTTTTAGGCTAGATTAACTTATAAAGGAAATAACAAATTCCCTGACTTCACTATGGGGGTAGTATATTTATCTGAGATGATACTTCATTTAGTCCAAGTGTAGCAAAAGCAACTAACAATTACTCTGCTGTGGTCTCTTGTATTATTTGTAACAGGCACTTCAATTGTCTGGAAAAAATCAATATTTTGTTTGCATTCACTAAATTAACAACATCCCTAAAAATATAACAATTTGTACAATTAGTGATATTGTTTGAAAATTTAGATTAGATAAATATAACTTTAAAACTAGAGGCTCCAGGGAGCCTGTCTCGCTCAACTGATAGTTTTGTTAACATTAATGCATGAAATAATGCAACCATTATACTTTTGCTTTAGTTTCAGAGATTTAAGCCAAAAACCATATTTTACCCCTATGTTCTATTTTAAGCCATGTCGGCCATGTTGGTTGGCAGGCTTGGTAATCAGAACTTTTTTATATAAGATATCTTAATGATGATTGAGGCCAAGTTTGGTTAAATTTGTCTCAGTAGTTTCAGAGTAAATGATTTTTCTAAAAGATTACAAAAATTTACGTAAAATTGTTAAATATTGAATTCGTAGATCTTAATTTGCTGAACATTAGAGCTGTTTACAATTTATCTCTATCTATAATAATATTCAAGATAATAACTAAAAACTTCAAAATTTCCTTAAAATTACAAATTTAGGGGCAGCAATCTAACTACTGATTGTCTAATTTGTCTGAAAATTTCAGGGCAAATAGATCTCAGACTGATAAACATTTTAACCCCTTGTCAAATTTACTTTTAATGTTTTAGTTTCAGAGATATAAGCCAAAAACTGCATTTTACCCCTATTTCTACTTTTAGTCATGTGGGCCATGTTGGTTCGCAGGCGGTGTCATCAGACACATTTTCTAAACTAGATACGCTAATGATGATTGTGGCAAAGTTTGGTTAAATTTGGCCCGGTAAATTCAGAGGAGAAGATTTTTGTTAAAGATTACAAAATTTACGAAAAATTGATAAAAATTGACTATAAAGGGCAATAAATCCTTAATGGGTTAATTGAAATTTTTGTCATGTTGACTTATTTGTAGATCTTACTTTGCTGAACATTATTGCTGTTTAAAGATTATCCCTCTCTATAATAATATTGAAGATAATAACCAAAAACTGCAAAATTTTCTTAGAACTGCCAATTTAGGGGCAGCAACCCAATAAAAGGTTGTATGATTCATCTAAAAATTGCAGGGTAGATAGATCTTGACCTGATGAACAATTTTCCCAACGGCTGATTAACTCAAAATGCTTTGATTTTAGAGATATAAGCCAACATCTAAATTTTACCCCTATATTCAATTTTTTTCCATGGCGGCCATCTTGATTGGCGGGCTGGGTCAAAGGACACATTTTTTAAACAAGATACCCCAATGATGATTGTGGCGACGTTTGGTAAACTTTTTTCGAGTAGTTTTAGAGGAGAAGATTTTGTAAAAGTTAACGATGGACGCCAAATGATGAGAAAAGCTCATTTGGCCCTTTGAGCCAGGTGAGCTTAAAAGTGTCTCCAAGGATGAAATTAATTGGAAAAATTGTATTTTTGTGTGCATTTTTGTATTCTTCAAAAATTAAATGAAGTTTATTTGTAGAACAGTAAGGTACATGTATTACAAATTTTATTCAAAATAGTTCAACAATGCTTTTCAAAATAGAGAGCTCCAAAATTATACGGGAAAAGGGAGATAATTTCAGGCAAACTAACAGATTTTAAAATTTAGTTTTCTACACTTTTAGTATAAAAACACAGTTTTTTTTTACATGATAAACATAGAGGAGATATAAATCTTTAATTTGGTGCATAGTTATACATGGTTCTTAGTTGTTCAACCAAATAAGCATCTTTGAATAGTGTACCATTTACAAAGGAATAATAGGATCAACTAGTGACTTAATATCATTATTTTTTTTTGTATTACTATTTGTTGGTGACATTTTTTGGTATATTCATATCTTTAATACTATAATGAAGATTTTTATACAAAATAAACTGAGAATTGGTATATTGGATGAATCACTTTTTTTGAGATATGCCTGGTTCTTACAAATAGCTGTACTTAATTTCATTATTGTCCTTTCATTTCAGATCGGCTGATCGTAAGAAGTGTACTGATCCCTAAAGATTTTTCTCCACCTTTAAGAATGCAAGTATCTCGTTAATCATTCTGAAAATTCGTACAAATAATTAAAAATTAGATTTAATAAACAGTTAAAAAAGCTGAAAAATGGTCTGTTGTAAACAATGTTATTAGTGAAAATTAAGCGTCCAGAATTTCCTTATTTAACAAACAGATTTTAGAGGTATTACTAAAAATTCGTTGATTTTATCCTTTGACAACACTGCTCAGAGTCTGAAAAGACCATATTTTTTTGCTCGACCAGCAAGGTGGAGCACATGTCTTACTTGACAAGACTCGACATTATCTCGACACTGTTAATTGTACTTAACTTAATTGTACACCAGGTTGGTCTCAACTTTACTTAATGAGGCTAATGGAGAATCTTGGATTAGTCTGTATAAAAAATAAAATCACAAAAATGCTGAACTCCAAGGAAAATTCAAAACGGAAGGTCCTTAATCAAATGGCAAAATAAAATGATAAAACACATCAAGCGAATGGACAACAACTGTCATATTCCTGACTTGGTACATGCATTTTCAAATGTAGATAATGGTGGATTGAACCTTGTTTTATAGCGCTAAACCTCTCACTTGTATGACAGTCGCATCAAATGCCATTATATTTACAACGATGCGTGAACAAAACAGACATAATAGGTAAAATTGTCAAAATAAGGGGTAGAGCAGTCACCACCGTGTCACAATCTCCATAAGAACAAAAACAAAAAAATATTAAACAAAGAGCACAAAAAAGCATCTATCAAATTTAACAACCACATTCATTGCTTACTTATATATGTATTTTAAATCAAACCATAAAGGATTGAAATATTTGAAGTCTTGTAACTGAATGGCATGGTTCACATCAACTCTAGTGTAGAGTCGCGTGTATGACGTCAGAATGTAAAAGTCACACAGGAAGATAAAGTTCAAAGTATTTTCAAAATTATATTAGAACAATAACATAATGGCATTATAATAGAACAATAACATAATGGCATTATATTAGAACAATTAAATAATGGCAGGATTTTAAAAAATACAGAGCCACGTCATATTTACCAAAGAAACACAAAAAGTCACACGTACAAAACACACCAGCAAAAATAAAAGATAATACAAACAACACATTGACGGGATGTATAAGTACCGAGCCACGTCAAATGGATATCACCGACAACAGACCAAACAGTAAAAGTAATATTAATAATAGAACAAAGACAAATAAAAGAACAATATAACACGTTATCAAGATGATAAACAACGTCAGTACGCAGAATCTATACACCAAGACTATCATGTATTATTTGTGAAGTTGATACGGAATTTTTATCAACAAGGTCTTGGCACCTTCCGATGAACATTTTTAGAAAAAGGACGAGACGTTCTTTGACATAACCCTGGTTCATCAATTTTATGCTCAGACACTGGTGACGTTTCACAAAGTCTGAGTAGGAGCTACAAGCTCTTGAATATCGAATAAGTTGGGAAATGTATATCCCATATGCAGGTGAAGTTGGTATATTGATACTAAGATGGGGTAAATTGATAATTTCAAAATTAAAATCGTCTCGTTTGTCATAGATTCGAGGTATAAGTCTAAAAATAAGGCAGAGGAAGCCGTGTCTGTTGTGTCTTTAATTTCTAGTTCTGGGGGATAAATTAATGGAACCCAAGCGGACAAGTTCGGATTGTTAATGGAAAGAACCCAGTGGGCACTCGACGTTATAACAACGTTTGAATTTGTTAAAATTTGGTCGTGACGTTGATCAACCTAAATTCAACGTTGATCTAACGTCATGGTATTCAACATTGACTTTACAACGTTGTTTCAACGTTGAATGTACGTCGTTAAAATCAACGTTTAAACAACAACGTTGATTCAACGTTGGGTAAATGTCAGTCATTTTCGACAGAAAAATCTCATTGTCAAAATTGAGGGGTACATATATATTTAATGAGCAGATCGGACAAGGGGCAGTTCAGTATTATAAACTATTGGATAATCAGTGGCTAATCCAGAACCCTTTATAATACTCATAAGGGTGTCCACTGACTGCCATAAACATGAGTGGGCTTCCTCCCGTCATGTTTCCATGATCCCTATATAATCAACCAAATTTTTTCCAACAAAAAGGGGTAGACCGGACTGTTTATGCATGGAAAGGAGTTTTGCGCAAGAATAAGGGAGGGGTCAGGAGAGATCACCGATAAGACATCTGCTTTTTCCATTTAATTTGTATTTGTGTTTATTTTTTAAGTATCTTTAAAAAAAAAAATTCAAAACCACTGTTTGATGATTCTCTTATTTTTAGGTGAATCTCAAAACCTGTTCATGATATTTTAATTGTATGTATATCTGTACTAATATGATATATTCCTAATTCGCTTTTACTGTTCTCAGATTTATTTTATATTTTCAAATCAAATCGATTTTTTTAGTTGCTTTCTTTCATTTAAAAAAATAAGAGAAATTTTTCGGTTTTATTTATTTAAATTATTTTTACCGATTAATATTTAACAAATATAAACGACCTTAAAATATCATCGATGTACAATGTATTCAGTATTCGTATAATAATTGAGTAGTTTTTAAATTTTCGCGGTATGTCAAGTTGAGTTCCGAAAATTTTCTTTCGGATGCGCACGCAAGCACGCGCACCTATATTCAACATCCGTTTTGAAAATTTGAAAAGATTGATAAACAAATAGTGATCAACTGTGTCTAAAGAATATAAAGACAAGAGAAGACTTTTCTGTATAAACCTCTTAATATCAGCGTAAGTATATTTTACAGTTAGATTAACGAAAATCATAATATATACAAACACATTCATTTGATCATTGTTGATCAAATTATTTATCTGCATGTTTACGTTATCAGAAATTATGACAAGGTCTCATCTTACTGAATCTGATTTATTTTCGTGTCAAATCAGTTTAATGATGTGTTTGCATATATCCTCCAATTAGCGAACTAACATAAAAATATCTATAGGCATGTAATATCAGAAAAGGGGGAGCTGTCATCGTTCTAGCTAATTTGTTCCAATACATCTCGATAGGGTGTATATGACACACATAGAAATGGTCTGCTCTTAAACACTGTCTTAGTCTTTATGATATTTTCGTAAAATATCAGTCATCTTTGATAGTTTCATCCGTATCTGAACATTATGGTTATTGCAAAACACAGATCTGGTTAGAATTCATGCTTTGACTTGTTATTGGTGCAAGCTAGGACAATTGTTTCAAATGGACATGTTGCGTTCTATGATTTTAAATATTTTTTTTTGTTATTGGTAGAATTTGATAACATTTCCGACTTTAATACACAACTTTTATTATGTAATTTATGTTCTTTCACTTCCATGCTTTCAGATGCTGTTCTAGCCTGCCACAAAATATCTGAGCAGCGTTCAAGACATTTGAAGTGTGCCCCACAAAGAGCAGAAGGAGTTGCTAGGCCAAAAGAATAGATCTTTAAAACAAAATAAATTTTTCATTTTTAAAACCTCTTTTTTTTATTTCTATAGTTAACTGAATTGCCAATAAAAATAGGCAGTGAAATTTAGAAATACATTATTTGGTGTTCTGCATCTTTGTGTTCGGTTTACTCAATTGTAACGGATGTATAGATAATAATTGAATGAGTAAACAGCTTGGTGATGTTATTGTTCATAACAAATGAAAAAAAGACAAAAAAAGAACTAAATATCGGATACAGAAACTTAAAATGAGATCAGTTTTTTTTTAAATGGTCCTGCTATGTATTCACATTAAACAAAGGAGGCATTTTGTGTCACTGTGTCAAACTTGCTGCATTTACATGATTTTGAATAAGTTTGGAAACTTGATCAACCAGAACCAAAACAATGTACTGTAGTAAGTTGACACATGTGTTCCTTTGCTTTGAGAAATTGATGTGCTAGAAAAGAAAGCTTTGTTAATATTGAGATACTTGGTTTCAAATAAAATCTTGATATTCTGACTGTCTCTCCTCTTTGGGGTTTTGATTGTTATTGTCTACTATTCTCTTTTTGGAGTTGTCTCTTGTTGAGAAAAGAACTTTTGGTGGATATTCTAACTTGAAATAAAAAAGTGTCTTTTGTTATTTCATATTTCAGATATCTTATTAAAGTATTTGAACACGTGCCAATAAAGATTAATTTACACCTGAGAACCATCACTTTACCTAACTTCAACCAACCTACAACTCGACCTGATTTCAACCTAACCCAGACCTGATTTCAACATGTTATCAACGTTAATACAACGTTGATTCAACGTCAGAGTTTCAACGTCATTTCAACTTTCAAATCTAACCTAAGTTTCAACGTTATCACAACGTTAAAGTCTGACATTGGATCAACGTTGATACAACGTTTTGTGCCTGCTGGATACATCATCAATATATCTGAAAGTGAAATGAAATAATCTGGCTTCTTTGATCTTCTTGTTTTTGACAAGTGTCTGAAAGAACTCCAATTTATATGAAAATAAGAAGAGGCGCACAGTTCGTTCCCATAGGCATGCCGACATTTTGTTATAAAAAAGTCTACCTCCAAATTCAACAAATATGTTGTCGACAAATGCTCGACCAGTCTCGCCCAAACTCGACTCATTTTTGACCAGAATCGACCTGTCTCGACCCGTCTTGACCAGTCTCGACCCGTCTAACCAGTCTCGACCTGTCTTTACCAGTCTTCTATCTGTCTTGACCAGTCTCGACCTTTCTCGACTCAGTCTTGACTTTCAAATTTAGTCTCAATTGGTCTGAATCAGCCCATCTTACTCTATTAAACAGTTATCCTACAAAAATTCAAAATAGTCCATTGCTGTCGGATTAAAGGATTTAATTAATAGGTTGAAAAAGCTAGAATTTTTCATTTCTGATTATATTCAGATAGTCACCTTTAAATTTTTTTATAAATTTTTCAAATCAACTTGGATTTTTATAAAAATGTACAGCTATCATAATAATATATTGATGTCACAGAATGCCAGTTTGTTTGGAAGTTTGGTTTATTGCTGTCAAATAAAAGGATTTAATTAATACGTCAAACGAAGCTGTACATTTTATGATTTGATTTGTGGGTAAAAAATGGTAGAACTTTAAGATCCGACTAAAATTAAAAAGTCCCCTTTAGTTAATTAATTCAACTTTGTCTAATCAACAAGGATTTTTAACAAAATCTACAGCTATCTCAATTACTAGCACATATTAATTTTACGAAATACCAGGTTATTTTTTACATATTAATCAATGCCTTAGATTTGACAGCAATAAATAAAACTAACAAATATATAAGTAAGATAGTGGTAAAGTTTAATGTAAATCCAAGTTGATTTGAAAAAGTTCAATGAAAATGATAAAAGCTGACTTCCTGAATTTAATCGAAACTGAACATTCTAGCTTTTTTAACCTTTTAATTAAATCTTTAAGATTGACAGCAATGAAGCAAACTATCAAATTACCGCGATTTTAGTAGGGTCAATATTCAATTGAGTTAAATGGGCCTTTTCAGACCAGTCGCTACTAAATATTAGGTGAAGATCGAGTCGTGACAGGTTGAGACTGGAAAATACCGAGTTGAGACTGGTTAAGACTGAGTTGAGACTGGTCGAGCATTTGTCGAGTCCATTTCCGACTATACCAAGATTATCAAGTTTTCATTCAGACTTATTGGTGAAGACCAAAGTCGAGTACAGTTAAGTACATTTAAGTACTGTCAAGATGATTTCAAGTCTTGTAAAGTAAAAGCTGTGTTCGACCTTACTCGCCGAGCACAAAATATGGTCTTTTCAGACTCTGACCAGTCTGTAGTGTAATTTATCAGATTCAAGTTTTTGGCGGAACCAGGAAATTTTGGTCCATATTTAACTTATCATTTTCTTGCAATGCGATTTTAAGTTTTCCTCATTGTTTAAAGTAGTACAGTGAAACATTGGAGCCAATATTAACGTCATCTGTTCATTTGTATTGCTCCTGTCATATAAAGCATTTATTCGATGTTTTGTTTTTATTTTAAATGCTACATTCGAATTAAGAAATTGTTACTATTTGGCTTAATTTGAGCATTAACTGTTTCTAATTTGATTTGTAATAGAATACATTCTATTTTAAAAAGTTACAAAACAAAAATACATAGTCAAAAATAAAAAGAACAATAACAAGAGCTTATCAAACTGACAATCAACGTTCCCAAAACTGTACACAGAAAACTAACATGATCTCAATGAACAGCTGCTTCGGGACGGTTAGCAGTCAAGCAACCATTGGACAAATGCTGTTTTTATATGAAAACATATATGTAATATACAATAATAATAGTAGGCATACACATCCTACGTGTCCTAGTTTAAGGGATGCTTATTTTTAAAAAAGGGGCGAAAGATACTAGAGGGACAGTCAATCTCTTAGATCGAAATAAACTGACAACGCCATGGCTAAAAAAGAAAAGACAAACAGACAAACATAGAAAACTAAAGACTAAGCAATAGAGAAGTTGTTCTTTCGGTTTCAGAAACTAAATAAGATTGTATCGCGATATCGATAATAAAAAAATATTTTTGTCATCATATAAAGCTATTAATTCTCAATGCTCTCATTGCAAAGATGTGTACGGAATTTAATTGAATTTACATTTATGTTAATATTTAATGCATTATTTGATCTGACCATTCAGTTTTTGTTGATATTGCATAGTATTGTTTATTTATAGAAATGATAACGATTATTATGAGTTTTTCTTTTGTCTTTTTTTTTAAATTTTATTGACATATTTATAATAGTTATATTGCGTGTTATTTTTTGCAGTAAAAAAATCAAAGATTTGACTGTCGAAGAAAATTATTTTTTAGTGGTGGTTCATGGACTCACAAAAATAGCATATCCTATTATAAAAAATGAGTTTTCAACTCAATGTCCTGACCATGTTCTCAATGAAATTCGTTTGAGTATTTACGAAAGGCAATTGGTACAATCATTTGACAGGCGTAAAGTAGGGAAAAATAGCCGAGAAGAAAGGATACACCTTAAGCCTGATCATCAAAGACAACTATTTTCACAAACAAGTAGGTTTTATAAATATTTAGGTGTGGTACATGTATCAAATAAATGTAAGTCTTTAACTCTGATTATGATCTTAGCAAGATCTGAAAAGTCTAACCTAAGAACGGTACGTCATGTTTAGAGATTCAGTGTTTTTATTCACCTTTTTGTAGTGAATTCAGTCCTGTTAGGACGTTATTCGTGCAGTCAGTTCAATAATGTTCAGTGCCCATTCAGACAAGCCAGTCGTTTGTTGCTTAAACTGGTTAAAATTCCAGCTAATAAACAAATTCACTGCAAACAAATTGTCTGAACAGTACTGAATAAACCTCAATGGATAAATCCTGAATAAAAAAATGGTATAATTGCAAATGAGACAACACTCCATCATAAACCAAATGACAAAGCAGTTAACAACAAAACGTCACTGTTCGGCCTTCAACAATGAGCAAAACCCTAATCCCATAGTCAGTTTACCTAAAAACGAACCAAGACTTGAAAACTTAGTATTCAGTTTATTAAAAGAATTGGAGTTAAAATTACTGTTACATATTCAAATGGTTAATAAATGTATGATTTCTAAAGAAAAAGCTATCCACTAAGACCAGCAGATGATGCCAATGTGATAATAATATGGAAATTTTAGGGTATTTAGCAATAATCAAAATTAGTAGACAGTATGATTCGTAATGCCACAGTATGACAAACGAACTGAAACAATTACAAAAAATAGTTTGCCTTGTTTTGTTACTCACAAATAAGGTAGACAGCAGTAATAAACAATCCACAAATGACAACCCCCTTAATTGGCGTTAATAAATATTTTAGAGTCGCTAATACCTCCCCTATTATATGACTGAGGTGAAAGAGCACATAATGAAAACAAAAAAATAAACATCAGTTTTGAGAGGTTTGAATCAGCAGATCAGCACTAAGAACAGAAAATAATTATAGAAAAACAATTTTAGTACCGACGAATATACATGACTTGTTTGTATTTGTAATTTTCACAACAGTGTCGCCAATTGTAAATCAAATATGACTTGTCAACGTCCTGTTATTAGCAGTTTCATACAAAATGATCGTTATACATATTCGATTGATAAGTTGCATTCGTGCATATTCACAGTTTACGAACTTCAAAGACGGAGGTATGCTCCTTACAGTACCAAACAAATTGTCCCACAGAGTTGAGGTAGAACGATTAAATCGACATTTCAAAGGCTATTCGGTCACCATCACATACTGGTTTACCGATACGATATGCCTTGTTCTGATGTCTATATTTATGTTTATATCTGATTATTTGACCGTCGGTAATCATCGGAGGTCACCACGATCGTTAAGTAATTTGCGTCTAGACTAAAAAATACACGAAATTTGGATACATATTATCGAGCGTATCCATTGAAAATTGTTTATTTTGGACCTTTTATAATTTGGATACCCTTTTTAGTATGTTATAAATGAAATATAATAACTTGAGTAAAAAATCGATATTTGACAGCCCTTTAAATATAGAAATATATATATAAAAATATTTAGAAGGACACAAAAAGATGAAAAGAAAAGTATTTTATGATATCATTAGGTAAAACTAAACTCATAGATAACAAATTTTGTTTAACAATAACAATACATTTTTAGGAGACAAATCAGAGGACTTAGATTTAGAATTGATGATTTACATTTTGAAAAAAAGATCGAATTCTGAATGGAACAAAGTATACATCAATCAGTTAGACGTCATCGAAAATATCAGAAGAGAAATTGATCAAAGCCCTAGCGGAAAATTAAACCAAACTCAATTCCACGATATTTTAAACTGTTTGAGCAAGGTACGTAAACATTACTGCTGCTTTACTATACCGAGTAAAAGGGTATAGATAGTTTGTGCAGTCTCTTAAGTATAATATCATATTGTTATTTGAATTTTAGAATCAATCAAGGTTCTTAATTAAAGACAAACATCTATAGTATATTTGGATAGCATCGGAAACTAAGATAAAGTATTTGAATACTGTACCAAGATCAAACTAATAAATTTGCAATGTATTCCAGCCAACTCAAATGTTTAACGTCTTTTCAGAAAATATCTCTTTTTCCAGTACAATGACCCTACTTTTTTATTTCCTCATTTTGTTTAACAACAAGCTGTGAATATTCTATTGATTTTTCAAAGAGAAAACATTGGTCATTTTTTTTTTTAAATTGATTTTTTTACAGATGTTTCTCTATAAAAAAAAAACGGTAAATTTATGTTAGCAACTTATCGTTATCATTTGTCCCTCGGAAGATGCTAACATCAAGGTTGACTAAATAAACAATTGTTATGTGATACAGATTTTGTTATAAAGTGTTTCATTGCTAATACCTAAAATTTCCAAATTCCATAATGCAGATGGTGCTTTAAATCGAAAACGAGGTATGTGAACCCATTTTTGTATTTGCTAATTTTAAAGCTTTTACCTAGCCTAAACTGAAAATAAAATATACAGAAGATATTATTGGTAGGAAAGAAGGATTTGACTTTAAATAGTTTATATGGATGATTTGAATAATATGCAATATACTTATATATTATGTTGTAAATTTTCAAATTGAGCAGGTACATGAGTTATACTCGCAAGGATATTTCCACGCTGAATATCAAGTTCAGTTAGATAATGTATTTTAAGACATTTTACGTATATTTTGTATATCCTCAATTTTATACATTAGCGCAGCAATGTTCAGTTTTCTTATTCAAGTTCATGATAAAATTGAGAATGGAAATTGGGAATGTGTCAAAGAGACAACAACCCGACCACAGAACAGACAACAGCAGAAGGCCACCAACAGGTCTTCAATGCAGCGAGAAATTCCCGCACCCGGAGGCGTCCTTCAGCTGGCCCCTAAACAAATATATATACTAGTTCAGTGATAATGAACGCCATACTAAACTCCAAATTGTACACAAGAAACTAAAATTAAAAATAATACAAGACTAACAAAGGCTAGAGGCTCCTGACTTGGGACAGGCGCAAAAATGCGGCGGGGTTAAACATGTTTATGAGATCTCAACCCTCCCCCTATACCTCTAGCCAATGTAGAAAAGTAAACGCATAACAATACGCACATTAATAATCAGTTCAAGAGAAGTCCGAGTCTGATGTCAGAAGATGTAACCAAAGAAAATAAACAAAATGACAATAATACATAAATAACAACAGACTACTAGCATGATGTATGTATTGCAACATCGATAGTGTATTGGAATAGCATCAGAAACTAAGATAAAGTATTTGAATACTTTACCACGATCAAACGAATCAATTTGTAGATGTGTTTGTGTGAACAATTCAAAACACAATAACTTACCTGTATTTGAAACTATTACACCGTTTTGAATATGACAACCAGGAGTAATCATAAGTTAATGCACGAACCTTAAACATAGTGAGTCAGAATGTTGATTTGTGTAGAAACACCATTTAAGAGATCTATTTAAAACTAAAAAATCCCCAAAGGTAACACGCTATCATTAAACAAGCACGGCGCATGTATCGTCAAATGCCATTCTTTACAAAAGCATGTAGTCTTAGGAAATTCTACCAGTGACATCAGAATGAGCCGATGTAAATGCATCTAATGCCAGGGTACATCTATCAGTGTTAATCTGGAGTGTAACGTTTCTACTAAGATGTTGAATACTTACAGGAAATATTTCCATCTTTTAGCTATATAGTTTTGTGCATAGAATTTTTTTTTTGTGAGTTTGTTAAGTCTCTGATAAAACGTCGTATTTATAAGTTGAAAAACTGTGTGAATGATCAACCAAAGTCAATTTTCAGAGACAAAGAGGCTGTGAATTGTCTATAATCTCTTCATGATACGTATCTTGTTGTTCCTGCGGACAAAGCTTCAAATAATATTGTCTTTGTATGTAAATCGTATCACTACGAATGTTTTGCAAAAGAATTAGGAATAAATGAGCACTCAGATAATCCCACATACAAAGACATATCATTTGACAAGGATGAGATTATGGCGTATCATAAGTCTTTCATGGCTTCAATGAACATTACATTGAACAAAAAATCAGACGTCTTACCTTGTTTGTATTGGACACCTAAGCTTCACAACATTCCGTACAAACAACGGTACATTGCCGGCTCATCTTCATGTTCACCCAAAGAATTGTCCATTAGATTGACTAAAATACTGTCCGCAGTGAAAGAGGGTCTTCAGAAATACTGTGAAACTGTTTACTCGCGTATTTGTATTAACCATATGTGGATTCTTAAAAATTCTAAGGAACTTCTGGATAATTTTAAATCTTGGTCTTTTTCTGAAATTAGTTCTATCAAAACTTTTGATTTTTCAGTCCCTGTATACCACCACTCCCCATGTGAAATTGTAAAATTGCCTGAAAGAAATAATCCACAATGCCTTTCAACATAAGAATGGTAGCATACGCTATATATTTATTACTTTGGGATACCATAAGGCATATTTCGTTTATAGCGAACAAAAGGGTAAAACATGCTACACAGAGGAACAAGTGATCAGTATGCTGGAGTTTCTTATCGACAACATTTTTGTTGAATTTGGAGGTAGACTTTTTCAACAAATTGTCAGCATTCCTATGGGAACGAACTGTGCGCCTCTCCTTGCTGACCTCTTCTTATTTTCATATGAACCAGAGTTCCTTCAGACACTTGTTAAAAACAAGAAGATCAAAGAAGCCAGATTATTTAATTTCACTTTCAGATATATTGATGATGTTCTTTCCATTAACGATCCGAACTTTTCTGATTGGGTTACATTAATATATCCCCCAGAACTAGAAATTAAAGAAACAACAGACACGGCTTCCTCCGCCTCATTTTTAAACCTATACCTCGAATCTGACATACACAGTCATCTCAGTACCAGAATTTATGACAAACAAGACGATTTTAATTTTAAAATTATCAATTTCCGCCACCTTAGTAGCAATATACCAACTTCACCTGCATATGGGATATACATTTCCAAATTTATTCGATATGCAAGAGCTTGCGGCTCCTACTCAGATTTTGTAAAAAAAACCTCACCAGTGTCTGAGCAGAAAGTTGATCAACCAGGAGTATGTCAAAGAACGTCTCGTCCCTTTTCTAAAAAAAAGTTCATCGGAAGGTACCAAGACCTTGTTGATAAATATTCCGTATCAACTTCACAAATAATACATGATGGTCTTGACTCTGCGTACTGAAGCTGTTTATCATCTTAATAACGTGTTAAAGTGTTCTTTTATTTGTCTTTACATATATTACTTTTACTGTTTGTTCTGTTTTTGGTGATATAAATTTGACGTGGCTCTGTACTTATGCATCCCGTCATTGTGTTGTTTGCATTATTTTTCATTTATACTTCACTGCTTTGTTTGTGTGACTTTTTATGTTTCTTTGATACATATTACGTGTCTCTGTACTTTAAACATCCCGCCAGTGTGTTATTGTTCTATTATAATTTTTGCATTCTTTGAACGACAAAATTATTTTATATCTCTACCTGTGTGACGGTTATATTCTGACGTCAAATACGCGATTCTACGCCAGAGTAAATGTTAAAATGACGATTCGGTCCCAGTGCTTAAAATCTATCGATCCTATTTGGGTTGATTTGGCATACTTAAATAAAATACAAAAATAAGTAAGCAATGAACGTGATTTTTAAAAGTGATATGTGCTTTTTTGTGCTTTTTTGTTAAATATTTGTTTGTTTTTGATGTGATTAAGATTGTGACACGGTGTTGACTGCTGTACCCCTATTTTTGACGTTTTTACCTATTATGTCTGTTTGTTTTATTCACACATCGTTGCCAATATAACGGAATTTGATACGACTGTCATACAAATGAGAGGTTTAGCGCTATAAAACCAGGTTCAATCCACCATTTTCTACATAAGAAAATGCCTGTACCAAGTCAGGAATATGACAGTTGTTCATTCGTTTGATGTGTTTGAGATTTTGATTTTGCCATTTGATAAGAGCCTTTCCGTTATAAATTTTCCTCAGAGGTCAGTAATTTTGGGAATTAACTTTTCAGGAAAGTAAGTCATATATACTAATTTGGTGTCAAGCAAAGATGTAAAATGTGCATTCAAATACGGAAAAATATAAAGTATTTATACGAAAGAGTCGTCCATACATGTATGATGTTTTATTTCTGTGATTTTGTAAACAATAAGATAATCTTCATTTCAGGCAGTCTTGCATTTGGGAGGAGAAATGTTTACAGAAGAATTACTACGACTTCAGCATATAAAAAATATCTTAGGTCAGTAAAACAGCAGGTCATTATATAAATATATAGAAAGGTTTACTGATTCGGGTTATAATAAACCAGTTTGAAATACTTAAATGCAGTTTAATATAGGACTACCTTGTACAAAACAAAAAAAGTAATTTAGATAAATGTTCTTCAAAATAACCTAGCATGCGCTTTTATTAATACTTATGACTAGCGTTACGATTTCTGCATGGCAATTTTCAGTGATCTATTGATAATAATGATTAATTTAAGAAATCAGATTTATTTACTAATTCCTAGTAAATCCTAGTTTTAAGCAATATTTTTTAATACTTTAATTAAAATTTCATGTAACCCTGTATGCTAAATATAATTAAATGCTATCGTTTTTAACTAAGCAATCACAGTAAAATAAGCTCGATTTTGATTGATTGAAATTTTGTTTCTCTAATAGAATAACTTTTTTAAAACTGAAACTCAAACTCTGCAACAGTAGAATAAACTCAACAGGACACGATTTATCAAATGACAGCTTTTAGATAATTTGACAAAACAAGAAGTAATAGCAAGAAATTCAGAATCAACATTTCAAATGATTTCGAATTATTCAAAGTAATTTTGTTATGTAATTCAAAGTAAATGTTTGTAAGTAATTTATAACTGATATTTCAAATCAAGATTTATTGACCAAAATTGCAATTAATCATATCAAGATGAATTCTTTTATCATGTTTATTGAATGTTTGTTGAAAATTTAAGTTTGCGCGTTCTTATCGTGACATGATTACTAGAAAAGCTGTACAAAAAAATCATAATTCACCTTCTCATTTACTTGAAACAATGGGATGACTATTTCGTACCAAATATGGACCCTTACCCAACTTTGTAATAAATGTTTTTTTTTATTATTCTGTTTAATGATCTGTTTCTTAACCTATTCAGGTCAAATTATTTAACAATTTTCATAATCTTTCTTTTCAGAGTAATTGAAATGTTCATTTCGGCAAACAGAACCAAGTGACAGTTTCAATGACCGTTCATTATATTACAAGAAGGAAACGTTCGTCAAATTGCACAAAATCGAAATTGTAGCTTAATAAACTAATTGTGAAGTTGTAAAATATTTTCGAATCGGCCAATACAGTTTTGTCGTCACATTTGCTTCAATTGTGTATAAATCCGACGTATACAAGAGAATGTTGTTTAGAGAAATGATTTGTTTTGTATGTTTAAATGTGTACATGATGTATATGCTTCTTTTTGTATTCAATCATTAGAATATATAAAAAAAGTAAGGTTTACATACTAAAAAAGAGTGATTCCAGGCGCCATTTTAGACTAAAAGGAAGACTTAAGAACACTTAAAAAAAGTTTAAAGATGTATGGTTTTACAACTGTAATATGAGTGCTAAAACATAAACTAGTTTCAAAATAAGATTGACCTTTTTGAAATTGTAGAAGAAAATATGGAAAAGAATTTTAAAAGAGGGAAATTATTCAGTTTCATTGTTATCAGCTATTTTGTGGAGCAGGATCTGCTTGCCCTTCCGGAGCACCTGAGATCACCCCCAGTTTTTGGTGGGGTTCGTGTTGCTTAGTCTTTAGTTTTCTATGTTGTGTCATCTGTACTATTATTTGTCTGTTTGTCTTTTTATTTTTGGCCATGGCGTTGTCAGTTTGTTTTCGATCTATGAGTTTGACTGTCCCTATGGTATCTTTCGTCCCTCTTCTACTTCCGTTGAACAAGATTTAGAAAATGTACAGCTTTTCATAAATATAAATAGATAGATATACACGAAAAAGATAAATGTTGAAGTAAAAGTGTTTTATATCAGTTATGAATAGTTGACTCCTGTATATATCATGTTCAAAAGATATCATACTGTCGACGCTATACAATTTAGAGGAATTAACTCTAACATTGAAGATGATATATATATATATATGTAATCTCATCTCATTTTTAAACATATATTTCTATTATTCATAATCATTACATGTCATAATCAGGATAATGTAAATCAGTAAACACATTCATGTCAAAGTTGTTGTAACTGTTTATTTGTACATATGAACTTGCTAATATGATTGATAAAAAATCATTTCATATATTACCTGTTTAATTACAGATGATCATGTAACGCTATTCTCAATGAATGAAAGAGGTCTTTTCAGAATAAGCTGGAGTGTAATCATCCTTCATGTAGGTCTATTCCAAACTAGTATAGATATGTGACAAGTGGACGTCTGAAACATGCCTGCATTGTTAGACATTCAGTCAAACTATAAACCAATAACCCAACATTTTAATTTTATGTGATTATCATTGACTGTCCATAAGATGACACAAGCTTTCTTTTAAATCAAAATGCAGGAATACTAATCAATTTGTTACTTATTATTAATGGTGTTTGATTTTGGTGAAACAAATGATATTGGCAATCATACTACATCTATTTTATATTGCATAGAATAATGAAGAATGGAATCGGGGAGTGTGTCAGACCAAATTTTGCAAATAAAAACACCCAAGACTTACAAAGGCAATAGGTTGTTAACTTTGGGACAGACACAAAAATGCAGACGAAATAAATATGTTATCAACCTTCTCCTTAAACGCACAGTAAAATGACATAAAAAGTCGTCCGCGACCAATATAAGAATTGTATACTGAAGAAACTCTGCAAAATGAAAGTCATCAAAATAAGTTAACCTTGACCTATAAAGGTTTATAAATCAGTTGAATAGGGATTGATCGGTACAAATCACAAAAGGACGTCTACATGTACATGTACCAAAGAGTTCATAACGGGAACTATATTTTACTGAATGCTATTTCAAAACCAGTTTCAATAAATAGATTAACAATCATGGTCTCCATGGGCTGCATCAATTTAAAACGTCGCTGACAATTGATACAGTAATAAAAAGGAGTTGTCAATATTTGGACAGAATGTTCTTTATAAATATATCAGAGAATGCATCAATACAGAATTTGGTTACATAATTCAAACGTATAAATCGCTTTCTGGATTTAAATTAATCAGAAAAACTAATCTGAACATATTAACAAGACTTCACACGTATGTTGATGTCATTAAAACGACTGATTAAAATAATTCTAAGCACAGCTTACGGTGATTCATTACAAACAGTTTCTTCATGGTCTAACTTAAAATGCCGAGTGGAAAAGATCAGTATTTTCATGTGAATTTCACATGAACAGTTTTCACGTGAAATTCACATGAAATTCACGTGAAACTCACATGATCTGACTTACGTGAATTTAACGTGAACTTGTTGACGTGAAACTCATGTGAAATTCATGTGAATTTCACGTAAACTTTTTTTCACGTGAAATTCACGTGATCTCACTCACATGAAATTCACATGATTTGACTCGCGTGAATTTCACATGATCTGACTAAAGTGAAATTTACGTGAAATTCATTTGATCTGACTGAGGCTAATTTTTTATATAATGTGCTAAAGTGGTTGATTTTGCACAAGATAAAATCACTGTTTAAAATAATTAAGTGTGTGCACTAATTATTGCCATTTTGACATAATCGCCAAAATGTAAAAATAATTATTGAAGAAGAATTAGAATAAGAATATAGATATTTTATTTGTTTGAAATACAAAAATTAACAAATTCTAACAAAATTTCACAATAAACATTTTAAAAACATACTCAAGAGAACATTTTTACTAGCACTTTAATATAATTTACATAAAAGGGGGACATATAACCATCAAATGATTAATATTTATCTTTTTATTTCGCATGAATTATCTCCCTTGATAGTGGATTAGATGCAACTACAAAAAGATCAGTGTTGGTTGTGAGTTGTATTTTCTATCACTGTTTATATTTATCTCTATTAAAGCAATAAAGGTAGAATTTGTATCTTTGATTTCAAATTCCTAGATACCTAGATTATATTGATGGGCTTAAATATTGATTTATCAGTAATATTTCTATTATTACTTATCAGTAAACTTAATTTCTTTCACACATTGAAAGTTTTCTTTATTTTTGTCCTCTTATAAAATATGGGAGGTAACTCCAGCTTATGAAATAGATTCCTGTTACTGTAATTAAGATCCTTTACTTTCCATAATTGCAAAGAAAAAAAATGATAATGAATATCAGTTACTTCAAAACCTGAGTTATCTCCCTTTTTTGCTGTGTATTATCTTTTCCTCAAACTTATAAGTCAAGTACAATTTTGAGCTTTGAACCACACATAAGTTTAACAATAGGACATATAAATAAAAATAAGTAAGTGTGCTGAAAAGAATTTTATTGGGCCAAATGTTGTCAATAAATGTAAAATTGAATGTTTATCAAAGTATATATATTGAAAGTGCAGTATATTTTTAAAACTGATTTGCTGTCAGAAATATGAAAAATGTTTGATTTAACGAGTATTACAAAAGCGGTAAATGCTAACTACTCCCTCATCTAAAAAAAAAGGAAGAAAAAAGAAAATATCTCCTCTCAGGGATTGCATGTGTATCAACTGGATTGCAATTTATGTGTTGGTACACTTCAAAATATTTTATAAACCTTTTTATAATGATCAAGATTTCTCAATTTTTCTATTTGAGTTAATGAGTTGTCAGGGTTTGTCAATCTATGGGAAAAATTTTAAACTAAATATTAATTTTATAATTTCAGTAGTTAAACTAGGTACGGATTTATTTTAATTTTATGTTGTGTTTTTTTTACATTGAGTCTACGGGAGTAACATTCTGACTTAACAGTGCTTAATGAAAAATGACAAAAAAATCTTTAGGGTAGGCTATTATCAAGACTAAAAAGTAGGGTAGTTAGGGTAACGGTGAGTGGAACCACACATATATCATAGGCGAATCCAGGGGGCTCTGCCACCCACCCACCCCCCCCCCCCCCTTTGTGGGAAAATTTTGGTTGATTATATAGGGAATCACTGAAGCATGACTGGAGCGGCCCCCCTAGGGTCAGTTAGTGCCCCCCACCCTATGAAAAGTTCTGGATCCGCCAATGTATATTTTTATTTGGCTTATTAATAAGTATGTTATAAGAAGATAATTAAGGATTGTCTGAAATAATTTGTTAATGTATAGCGAATGGTTGGTTAAATTTACAACTTTGATAGATCTGATATTATTTATTAAAAAAAAACTACAGTCTTGAAACATGTAAAACCAAGAATTTTACACCTAAAAATGCTGTATAATTTTCAAATATTTTTAATTATCTCTTAAAATTTATAGATAATAAACATATCTTTAGTCCTATATTATAAGTGTCCCAGGCAAATGCATTAATGTGCTATGTATTTTATCGAAAATTATTGATTGACATTAAATTATTACCAGAGGCATATATACTAAATAATGTCTCTAATATTTATATAATTTAGCTGTAATAAACATGATAAATGTGAGGGTATGATTGCCAATTAGACAGGCTGTTAATTGGATTAAACATATATATTCTTCAACTAAATGAAATAACTTCATTGAAATTATATCTAACAATATAGTTATTATATTTAAATATATCAAATAGTTTTAAGGGTTAGACTTTATGCTCTACTAAAGGGGTGCTCCTATGGAAATGATGCTTGTAAACAAAAGAATTTGTTATTTGTTCATTTATATGTCTTACTTAGTCAGGACTTTAAGCAGTAAATATCATTTTAAAACTGAATTGAGTCAGTGAAGTCGGGAAGATGATTATGCTAAGAAACATTGGATATTAGGGAAACCAGCATGTACCTATTTGCACATGGATAACTATTCTTCGTGACGATATCCGGGAACGGAGATCGGTTTTTAAAACGCTTGAAAGATTCAGATGAATGATGCAAATTTGAAGACGCCGGTAGCCAACTGACAACAACTTGAACAAGTACTTGTTTCTGTTTTTTTAACGAGACAAACACAATCAAGGAGCTATGAACGCATAGATACTCGCGGAAATAATACAGGTAACTCAAATAAATGATTTAATAGTGCAATAGTGAGAATGTTTTTCAACTTTTGACCTGATCAGTTCACAGTTGTAAAACTCCGTTTAAAATAAACACTCATTAGACACACACAAAATTCAGACAAATAATCTGTTTTTCACTTTCTTTGTTATACTTGGAGATATTGATTTGGTCATTGTCATGAATCATGATTGTTGTATAGCTTTACCATGACAAGTTGCATATACAATAATGAATTTAGAGCCCAAAAACAAGGATTTTCTGGTTTCCATACATTAATTTGAATATGATATAAAAATAAGAAGATGTGGTATAATTGCCAATTAGACAACTCTCCATCCGAGATCAAATGACATAGAAGTAAGTAAATACAGGTCACGGTACGGCTTTCAATTATGAGCAAATCCCATACATTTCTATGGATCTCTATAAAATTGAACCTCAAGGTTCATAACAAAAACAAAAGAAGGTTGGGATTGATTTTGGAGGGTTATCGCCTTAACCATTCAGGAGTGAGCATGGTAAGGCCAGTATTTTAATTTGTTGGTTTGCACATTTTACACATGAAAAAGTCGAGTCGGTCGGACGAGAATAAAAGAAAAAAAATATCTTTCAAGACAGAAAAAATATATTTCACCTTACTAACAAAATGTTTGGTTTGCTATCTTGTCATCGCTTAAATTCTAGTTCTATGAATTATTATTGCTCAACTGTTATAAACATAAATATAAAATATATGTACATTGTCGGAAAATATATAATTTATTTGTATAAGCTTTAGAAACAGGACGAAAAGCGAGGCTCGCCGAGCTTTTCTCCTGTTTCGTAGCGAGTACAAATAAATTTTATATTTTCCGACAATGTACATTTATTGTTTTTATCCTGAAATTTACACCCAAAACTTGAAACTTTAGTTGTTAAAATCTAACTCATTGTCTCTAACTATTCAAAGAAATCGACATAGTTATAACGCGGACCGTGAATGGGACCCCAGAATGAACTGGTACGCAAAAAGAAATATCCACATTACCGCTTGCTCAAAATGGAAGCGGGGTAACTGGAGACTTTAATTGTACAAGTACAAATAAAGCAAAAATGTATTTGTGTACCTGTTATTTGTACATTAGTTAGCTGATTGCAGGATAAAATGCATGCCATCGTCATACAATTTCCAAATAGGGGGGTTATGTCCAAGGTCATACAATTTCCAAAAAGGTGAGTTATGTCCAAGGACATAGACAAATTAAATCGTTATTTCATGAACAAGAAAAAACAGATCCACCAATTTCAGGAAGACCCTACATCAACTGTCAAGATGAAGAACAGGAATAAAAGCCCTGTTCATTGCTAATTTTCTATGTTTTCTATGTATTGTGTGCGATGTTGTCCCATGTACATTTACTCCATATCCTTTCATTTTCTATTGGTGAACAATGATCTTCAAGCACGAAAACTAATACATGAAAATTGCAAACACGTCCTACGAAAATAAGCTTGACCATTCTTGTCAAAAACGTAACAGACTTGTCCACTAGAAAGACGAAGATATCAGATTCATGAGTTGTCATGCATTCCCATTTTTGATATCCAAATGGACGTTTTTTTTTTTAATATCTATGAAACAAGAAAATTCCAAATTGTTTGTGAATATCTATAATCTAACTTGAAATCTTCCACATTTGGACAGGTCCATTTCATCTATGAATTGATACATCTTACAGATTTATGAAAAAAAAAGGAAAACAAACTTATTGTAATTGGTTTAAAACACAGGTTGCGCTCCGCCGCAAAATTATTTGCGCAAACAACATTTTAAGGTCAATTATGATTGACTTGTCTATTTTTAGATATGACACAATGTGTTATCAATTCTGTTAGTGTTTGCAATTGATGCATTTCATAAAAAAGAAAATTTGTATTTATATTTCAGGGATAAGGTTTTAAGGTTTTTGTAAGGGTCAGCGGGAATAAAAAGCATGAAATGTCAATTTTATTTTTATTCTGCAAATCAGAAAAATAGGGTCGGCGGATCCGTAAACCAACAAATAAAAAAGCCGGCCTAAACAATACTTTTCTAATACACTGTACAAGTTACCTATTTCTTGACCAATTTCAATGAAGTTGAATGCAATGTCTTGAATTTTTCGGGTACTTAAATATGCTGATTTAAACTTATCTTGTATTTTAGAGTTTGAATATTTGAATATTTGGATCTGTTTTATATCAGTCAGGGGACTTACTTTAATGAGTGATTTTCTAAATCACTGATTCAAGTGACATTGTGTCCACAAATGTTGGAAGTAAGAGTTGTCATTCTTCATTAATCACCAATTTAAGTTGAACATGTACAAATAAATCACTAGACTAAGTGATTTCATTTTATTGTAGCTTTAAATGTATAATACATGGGCATATTATGTTGCTAAAATTACCAGAACCAACATCTGTGTTTATAGACTGTCCAGTCGTGTCAAGTGATAACCTTGTACTGAATCTTGGATATTGACATGAAAATCATTTGTTTAAGTATCATACCTCTATTTATTTTAAAAAATCACTTCTTTAAGTATTATTGTTTTAATTACTCCCCATTTATTCATAAATCAGTTATTTTAGAACAACCGGGCCCTGACTGTTATCTGACATTGTAATCTAAATTATTAAAACTTAAACTTTGTTGGATTCCATCAAAAATTGAATTTTTGATTTTTTTTATATGCAGAATCTAACCTGTATTTGGATTTTTAATTTTGGGTCTGGTTTTCAAATTTGTCTTCATAAAGGCAGGGGTCATGTTTAAAGCATCTTATCTGTATGAAGAATGGTAGGTCTATGACTTGTAATTTAAAAATAAGTCCCCTCCTACATGTCCTAGAAAAGACAGGTCCCGGACCTCAGACTTGCACTATTTTGAACATAAATTAAAGGTCCAAAGGGCAAACAATTTAACTTTAATTTTTCTTTATTGTTCTTAATGATGTTAATAGCAACTTCAATCCATTGCTTTTTGATATTTGATAATACGTGTTTAATATTAGTAAACAATAAATATATAAGTTAATTGTTTGCAAAACTCTTTCAATACTTTTTATAGTCTTGCATCCACATGCTGTTAATAAAGCACTGTTTTCTCCTTTCAGCAGTACATTGTATTACAACAAATGGACAGAGGAGTTGACTATTGATAGTGACTGATAATGGACTGGAGTAACCTAGCGTCCAATGACTCTGAACATGCCTGACAGTACTGGCATGTGTACATGTATGTCGACAGCCAATTCTAAGTAACCTTAAACGTATACATTGTATATACAAAAGACCTACAATAATGGTATGTGCATCTATGGGTGACTTATATTTCACTGTTGTCACACAGTGTTGTGTGGCTTTATTACTGGTCAGGCTATCTATCCTTTACTATTATAAAGTTCAAATATCATGTACATGATTATGAATTGCATTGATAAATTATGATGCAGCATGATATCTTTTTGACCTACATTTTTGTCGAGCCTTCGACTTTTGTCGAAAAAGCGAGACATAGAGATCCTACATTCGGTCGGCTGCGGCGGCGTCCACAAATATTCACTCTGTGGTTAAAGTTTTTGAAATTTTAATAACTTCCTTAAACTATCCTGGATTTCTACCAAACTTGGACAGAAGCTTGTTTATGATCATAAGATAGTATCCAGAAGTAAATTTTGTAAAAAAAGAAATTCCTGTTTTCCGTATTTTACTTATAAATGGACTTAGTTTTTCTGCCAGGAAACATTACATTCACTCTGTGGTTAAAGTTTTAAAAATATTTTAATAACTTTCTCAAACTATCCTGGATTTCTACCAAACTTTGCTAGAAGCTTGTTCATGATCATAAGATAGTATCCAGAAGTAAATTAAAAAAAAATCCTGTTTTTCTGTATATTTCTTATAAATGGACTGAGTTTTTCTGCCAGGAAACATTACATTCACTCTGTGGTTAAAGTTTTTAAAATTTTAATAACTTTCTTAAACTATCCTGGATTTCTACCAAACATGGACAGAAGTTTGTTAATGATCAAAAGCTAGTATCTAGAAGGAAATTTTTATTAAAATTTTGTACTTGTTTATCCATATTTTACTTATAAATGGACTTAGTTTTTCTTCCAGTTCACATTACATACAGTCTGCAGTTAAATTTTTTAAAACATTTATTAGATTCATAAACTATCCTGGATTTTTACCAAACTTGGACAGAAGCTTCTTACAATAAAAAAATTGTATCTAGAGGAAAAATTTTATTACATGTTTTCCTCATCTCATTTTCGTTGAGCCTGCGATTAACAGCAAAAGTAGGCGAGACACTGGGTTCCACGGAACCCTTACGAATGTTATGTCTCACTGATTTATTAAGTACATTGTATATGTATGAATTCAAATTGTGGCACATCATGTACATGCACAGTACTTAGTTTTGAGTCTTGCACACGTACATGCCATTGGAGTTAAAATAAATTTGATCGCTGACAATGACAGAGTGTTTTGAACATTGCCTCATAGTGTTGATCAGAATACCTTTATATTAAATCAATAAAATTTTATTGACACAGATTGAAAATATTTAGTATTTTAAAAATAAGGAGATGGGCATGATGGGTAGGAATGCCAATGAGAAAACTTTCTGCAAGTCGAAATGAAGGGGATGTAAGAAATTTTAGGTTACTGCATCTTCAACAATGAACAAAACCATACTGTAGTGTCAGATGTAAAAGATCCTGTAAACATGAGCAACAATAAATGTCAATTCAAATCAGAAAACTAGTGACGTTCTAATTACCAGTATTGGTAATATAAATTTTAAAAAAATCTGACACATATTTTCTCTCTTGTTAAATATTTTTTTTGAAATATTCACCAACATGACCAAGAGAGAACTGTATTGCCAATTTATTGTTATCGGAAAGCAGTGCATCAGGTTCAGGTGTTTTACATGATAATCACAGGAATTTAAATTTTCAGAACTAGCTCCTCAGAAATCAGTGGAATGGAAGTAATACACCTCATATGTTTCAATGAAATTAACATGATTAATGATGGCAGAAGACGTAGAGGAGATCCTATAGCTACAGTACATGTACATTTAACTGGTATGTATATTTGTTACAGTATTAATAGTCCAAATGGTATAACAATAACGAAAATACTGAATTCCAAGGCAATTTCAAAAAAGGGAAGTCCATGCATATGGTAGTGGCTGCTGGGTTTTACTATTTGTATTATTAAGCTTTACAATGTATATTTCATAGGGTAGTAGACTTGGATGTTTCATAAATTGTATACAGATGCCTTTTGTTACAATGTTTCTGTCCATCACATTTTGGTTGGCCTTGTTAGATCACATTTTAATGGTTCAGCGACTGCTTGAAAAAAGTTAAGGTTTTTATACGACCGCAAAAATTAAAAATTTTTTGGTCGTATATTGGTATCATGTTGTCGTCGTCGTCCGAAGACAGATGGTTTCCGGATAATAACTTAAGTATAAGTAAATAGAAATCAGTAAAATTTCAACACAAGGTTTATAACTACTAAAAGAAGGTTGGAATTGATTTTGGGTGTTATGGTTCCAACTGTTTAGGAATTAGGGGCCCAAATAAACATTTTTGTAGTTTCCAGTCAATAACTTGTGTTGAAGTGTATGAAACTCTCTGAAATTATTCCATAAGTTTCCATACGACAAAGGGATGGTTAGGATTGAGTATTGGGGGTTATGGCTCAAACCATTTAGGAATTAGGGGCAAAAAAGGGGGAAAAACAAGGTTTTTTCTGGTTAAAGGACAATTAAGACAATTTTAAAGCAGTCAAAGGGAGGTAATCCCATCCCCATTTAAAAACAACAATGTTTGATTACCTCCCTTACACTGCTTGTAAATTATTTGTTAAGAAACGATGATTGTCTTGAGGTGATAAGCTGTCAATTTTTTTGTTAGAAGTTACTATTAATTAATATTAATTTTAGCCATGACTATGTATGTCATTTTATATTTTAAGACTTTCATGATGTATTTAAATGGGTAATTATGGTTGCAAACTTTATTAGAAATTTGAATTGAGATAATGACTATATCTTGAGGGGAAGATTTTTTTTTGGAATAAGGGAAAGGGGAGGTGAAAAAAATATTTGGGGGGGGGGGGGACTATTTGCAACAGCATAGTATATTGCACAAAAGCAAAAAATTGAATATATATTCAAATCATATAACCATTTTTTAAGTTCTTTGACTACAGTTATTCTGTGGCAGAAACCTATTATGTGTCAAATATTTAATTTTAATCCAAATTCAAACCTGTATCAAGCGTGAATATTGTGTCCATTTTGGCCCCATTTTCAGGGTTGGACATCTGCGGTCATATCCAGCTGCGCTCAGCGAAGCAATTTATTTTGCTTTGTGAATTTCTTTTTTTTTATATTATGAGTTAATTAGGATATCTGTATTTGGAATATTGGTTCCTTGCAATATTTATATGTACACGTACATGTCTGTGAGACAGGGTTCACCTGACCTTACTTCATGGAGCTGTCAAGGTAAAAGTTACATGATTAACACATGTCGGTCCTTTTCTCAGATATAGAACTTGAGTAGATCAACTGTATTTAGTGTTTAGAATGAACATTGACCTCATTTCCATGGTTCATTGGTCAATGTTAACTTTTATTTCTTGTAGGCAATATGTCAAGTATATATGATGTATGGAATGATTGTAAGTTGTACATGTCTGTCTGGACAGAGTTCATCTGACCATTCATGATCTAATTTTGATGGTTCATTGGTCAATATTAAGATTTAATAATTTAGTCTGTTTGGTGTATACTATACATGCTACATGTATGATCAATTAAAAGATCAGCTTTTTTAGCTCACCTGGCCCAATGGGCCAGGTGAGCTTTTCTCATCATTTGGCGTCGTCATCATCGTCCGTTAACTTTACAAAAATCTTTTCCTCTGAAACTACTTGGCCAAATTTAACGAAACTTTGCCACAATCATCATTAGGGTATCTAGTGTAAAAAATGTGTCTGATGACCCCGCCTCCCACCAAAATGGCTGACATGGCTTAAAATGGAACATAGGGGTAAAATGCAGTTTTTGGCTTATATCTCTGAAAGTAAAGCATTTAGAGACAATTTGACATGGGGTAAAATATGTTCATCAGATTATGATCTATCTGTCTGTTGTTGGGTTGCTGCCTAGGGTATCTAGTTTTTAAAAACATGGCAGATATGGCTAAAAAAAGAACATAGAGGGAAAATGCAGTTGTTGACTTATATCTCTGAAACTAAAGCAAAAGTATAACGGTTGCATTATTTCATGCATCAATTGTAAATAAAAATATCAGGTGAAAGACACAGGCTTTTTGAAGCCTCTAGTTTGGTGTATGCAATAATTGTACATGTTGTAAAGTGCACATGTCTGTCTGGCTTGGTTTATCTGAACTTGACCTTAATATTTGCTTGACAGTATATTTTCATGAATCATTGGTAATGTTAAGTTTATTTGATACTTATCATAAACTTATAATTATTCTTATATCTTTAGGACAAGCACCATAAAACAGTGGGGACATAAAAATACCTGGAGTCTGTCTATCCCTTTGGCCTTATAAGCGCTCTCACTTGCATGTCTTGTACAATTCTTGTCAAATTTTTAGGAAACTTATTTTGATAGGTTATATCAACAATGTCTGACAAGTTTTAAAATCAGTGCCAATCAATCATTTTTAAAAGAGTTATGCCCCTTGGAAACATTAATAATTTGGAAAATTGCATTGTTAGGGCTCTTGTGTACAATTCTTGCCAGAATTTTATGAAATTAATATTAAATAGGTTTTAATATCATCAGAATGATCAGAGCATTTTGATTTTCATCTGTAATGTTTACAAATTCCAGGTTTCGTGGCAAATTTCAACCATTATAAACCTCCACAACCTCCAAAGCAGAGGTAATCAAAAAGTAGTGCAGCAACAAACAACAACTATTAATATTCCACTCCAGTTAATCTGACACACAATATACATGTATGACTATACACATAGATATAAGAAGATGTGGTATGAGTGCCAATGAGACAACTCTCCATCCAAGTCACAATTTATAAAAGTATATATATATTTATGTACCCGGTAAGTTTGGATATTAAATTGATGTTATCATTTTTGCTTGAATGGTAAGGCAATATTTAATTTGATGTATATTTTACAAAATAATATATGCTGGGTTTTTTTTTATTACAGCAAATGTATTCCAAAAGTTTATGGCTGATTATGCAACTACAGGATTTTATCATTGAAGCAACATCTTAGAAGGATAAGTGCAAATGTATGAAGGAAGCCTTGTGTAGAAATACATGTAGCAATTACATGCAGGAGAGAACACTTAAACATTACTAACATGTAGTCATGATATTGGAGTGGTGTATTCTATAAATCTAAACACCTGGAATTAAATATTGTGTATATTTTTTTTCAACCACAAGTACTTTCAGCATATAATACAATTCAAATTCAAATTATTGTGTCAACATGACAGTTACTGTCTAAAAATGGAAAATGCTTGTTTTAAAATGAATTTTATATGAATATTTTAAATAACAAGATTTTTTAGCTTATTGTGCAGCCAAACTTTGAGATCTTTTAATGGTATATGCCTGTTGTTTGTCAACATTTATTTTCTTTTTGACTTAGCCTTAAGATCAGTGTTAAAATGAAAAACTGAAAACCATATATGAAATGGTTGTAAATCACAGCAAGACTTTCAATATGGTATATCAAATATATTTCACAGAACTTTCTATTTCAGTTTATTAATACAATGAGATATGAGGTATAAATCAATCAGGCAGTAACACAACAACAAAAACACCTGAAAGGTATTAACTGCTAACATACAGTCCTCAACAATAGACAGGTGTCTAAACAATATGTCATGATCTGTTTAATTGACCAGAGTACATGAGTATGTGGCAGGGTGAACTACCTTTTTTCTTCAAAACTCACATAAGAGGAATTGGCATCTTTTGCAAGTAAGACTTTTCCATAATGTGATTGGAATGTCTCAAAACTGATGAACACAAAAAGACTTATACATACATATTAAAAATAAAATATACATCAGTGCATACATCTTCTATAAATGAATCAGCTTCCATACATCAAATTAAAAAAAATATTGAGACTTGAATACAACAAAAAAATTTCTAGGAGTGAACTATGGTGCCCTGGATATTTGCTTGCCTTCTTGGTTTTATTGCATCTTATCTGCTGCATTGAAGGTATTGTGAGTTGGAGTTGATGAATAAATATTATTTGTATTGTTTAGGACACAGAAATCTAAGATACAAAGAGAAAGGAAAAAAGAATGGAAGTATGAATACATCCTCAAGACCAAGAAGAATATTTATATATATCAAAATAGAATGTGTACTAGATTAGCATTTACTTATCTAAAATATGCTCAAATACTGTTAAATGTGTGTGATTGAGACTCAATTCACCTTAATTTCATTTAAAAAAAATAATCTGAAAGCTCGATTCACATTAATTTCACGTGAAAAATTTAACGTGAATTTCACGTCAAAGCTCGATTCACGTTCATTTCATGTGAAAAATTTCACGTGAATATCACGTGAAAGCTCGATTCACGTGAAATTCACGTAAATTTAACGTGAGTTTCACATGAAAAATTTCACGTGAGTTTCATGTATAAGCTCGTTTGAGGTGAATCTCACGTGAAAAATTTCATGTGAAATCTACGTGATTTTCACGTGAAATTTACGTGAACAAAATTGCCTGTGTAGGCGATAATGGTAACATTTTTCGTTCTGTAGCTCAGTCCATTTAGTACCAGCATATTTTCAACATGTTGACTGTATTTTCAATGGCATAAATACCATAAATAAACAATTGAGAGCTTGACTAATAAAACTAAATACCTACCAGTAATTCACAACTTTTTAAAACCTCTAATTTGTCGTCTCAGGTTAAACAGGAATAATATGTTTGAAACAGGTTATTTTAACATTTCGTTTGAAAACAAACTGTATTATAAAGGAATAAAAAAATAAAATATTTGAAAGTTTTGTCACAAAAAAATAAGAT